CGGTGATCCGGTGGCATTTCTAGTTCAATACACGGGTTCACCCGGCGCCATGAAATAGTTTTTTTAATTTCACACAAGACCTTTTTCTCGATTATTTTATGGTTTCACCTTTTCGCACTCGGGGTCCCATTTAGTTTCCAAATTTTCTCACCGACCCCAAAATATTTATTTTCAGGTGAATTCCCTTGGCGGTACTAATGCTAGCCCTTACTATTGCTAAATTGAAGAGACATTGTTTTCAGTTCCAAGGAACATGGAGCAGCAGACGCCAGCTCGTCTCTAGGAGCAGCTCAAGTACCAGAAAATGCAGGCATTCAAGTACCTAGATTTCCATTCAGGATTGCAGGACCTGTTGTAGGACCTATCGTTTTGCAATCTCTAGTTGTCGTAAGCATAGTTTGATTACAGGCGGCGATCAGCTGATCTGCCGAAGTTGGGGAGCGACTGCCTTCTTGAGGTAAGTTCAGGTCGTCCGAGATATCACTTTCACACAGAGCTTTTGAGGACGGGTACTAAAATGATTGAAAGAGATCCCAGTATGGATGAGTGAAGGGATGAATGCAATCAGAGGATGATGCGAAATATGCAGCTTGATAGCGGCCATGAACTTCGCCGGAGATAGGTGCGAATGTGTTTTGATCTTGGTTGAACCGTTTGAAAAGCTTTCTGTCTCCCGAATTGACCCACATCTACAACCACCTGTGAGTCAACTGTACATAAGAACTGGAAACAGAAGTATTCAGCACTGCTGGCGAGCTACAGGATTCCTAAAGCATCATTCGGTTTATCTGGAAGAAAGCCATCAACATCTCATAAAGATCACAGTTTGCATGAATCAGCCAGTCCATCACAGTGCTTGTTGAGATCTTGCTTTCTATGACCAGTCTCTTTCCATGCAGGCAAGGCAAGATCGTCAGGAAAGGCTGAAGACTAGGGACCCTTGCATTACTTTCTGAACGTTCCAAGTGCCATACAGACTATGGCAAAGCCGAGAGGGAGCTTGCACAGGCTAATCGACCAGGTGAGAAGCACAGACAAGCCCTTATTCAGGTGCTTGGGAGGTGACTTGTCATTGTGGCAGAATTTATAGAAAGCAAGCAAAGACCTGAAAGCTCTAAGTGTAAACACATGCCCTGTTAGTTTAGCCCAGGATTTACAGCCACTCAAGACTAGGATGGGGGCTTCCGGCAGACATACCATGCTCAATGCACAAAGGAAAGCTGTATCGTGCCATGCGTATCAATGCTGAAAGGGGCAACTTCTGAACAGGGACGATGGCTCACATCTTTTCGAGATCCAGAGTCGCTCTGCCTATCCATATTTGATTAACTTGTATCGGAGGAGATTGACTTAAGCAACGTATGAGCAGTAAAACCTTATAAGGAAAAGAGGCCTCCCCACAACATCCCGCTTTCTGCCATGACAGCAGTCATAGTGTAATGTTGAAAGCAATGTCAGAGCAAATGCAAGGTACAAGATTTCTGCATCCAGCTTCTTGCATCATAGATCAGCTTTTTGCATCGAGATCGGTGTAATTTGTGTCAGCCGGTTGACCACGGGCAGTATGTGCTGGCCGAACTTTCCCTGATGTAATGACTCTTCTCAAGTTCTTGATCGCAGATGTACTTCGTTTCTTTTCCCTTTGGCGCTTTCCTACATGGTTGTAACCATGGCAAAAGCTCCTTCTTCCTTTTTCCTCTGCAGTCTAGTGGCTTTTCATGTCAGATGTCATTACACCAGCTGGACCCCTTTCTGACTATCTTTTTTTGTCCTTCTACAGAGCTCCCTCGGAAGCGCCGACTCATTGGCCAGCCTTTCGAAGACAGAAGAGGAAACCATTGCACAGGACAGTGAGCTGTGGGGGCACATCAGCCGCTATCCCAGCTACACAGACATCCCGCTCCATCCCCCCGCTTCTGACCAGAACCCCTCTCAGGATGCGCCCCAGCTGGAACTCCCTGGGACAATGGCTCCGCCGGACATTTCGCCTTTGGAAACGTCTGATGAATTAGACCGCACGGGTTTTGACAATCTGGCGGAAACGTCCGGAAGCGTGTCCCAAGACAGTAGGGTCCGGTGGGGCAAGGCGGACGTCCAAAGCGTAACACCGGGCGATCGAAGTGCCCCAACCACGCAGAAGGCGGCTTGTCGGATCAGTTCAGAGAGTCAAAATTCGGGCATCCAGACCCGGCCCCTTGATCAGCAAGCAGCTTTCCCGGCGCGACAATCTTCGGAGGTCCAAATGGCGGGGTTCGAGCAGCTGCCAAAGGACACAGAGGGGAGCAGCGCATTCGCAGCGCTCGAAACGCTGGCGAAAGTGCTGCAAGAGGCTGCAGAAAAGCAGGCTCGTGCGGAAGCGGAAGTGGTAGAGTGGAGGGCGAGGTATGAGAGGGAGTGGCGAAGGGCGGTTGCGGCGGAGGAAAGGCTGACGAAACCAGATGCCCAACCAGGTAGGTGGCATCCTCAAGAAACCCGCCATTGCTCCTGCGGTGGTCTTGGTCGTTGGTCTTTTCGCTTTCCCTTTGAAACTCAGGATGCATCATACTCTAGCATCAGTCAGTATTTCCTGCCGCTTTCTTAAGATTCAGAACATCTTTGTAAGGAAAGGGCAAGTGCCTGACTTGTCGGTATGGTGCTTGGCTCGAAGACCTCTTAGAGCAAGCACAGCAGGAGCGCATCCTGAGCTAGTAAAGTTCAGCCAGTCGCCAGCCCGATTTGTTGCCCGCTGGCTCGTCTGACCGGTTTTTGTCTTGGTTGTGGTTGAGATCGATACTGTCTGGCTGCCAGTACCAGCAAGTTCCACCGTAAGTCGACACTATCAAACGAAAGCAGCGAAAAATTTGGACGACTTTCTGCCCAGCAGAATCTCCTACCTCTCTCTGTACAGATCAAGAAGGGGAGCGCGAATTGCTTCAAGGACTCCTGCTTTGTCCCTCTTGAGGCCTCAGCACAACTCGCGAGACGGATCAATATTACACGTAAATTCTCTCAGTATAGCCCCATTCCTAAATCTTCTCCGCTTGTATCCGTTCTTCATTTGCAGCCAACAGCGAACCGGCTACTCCGTCCTCGCCGCCCCGGGGGGGTGATTCGCGCCCTGTTCCTTCCCCCTGCTCCTGCTACGACTCGGACATCTGCGGACGAAGGGTCCTCCGGTCCGGCATCGCCGGTGAAAGAGACCGAACCACGAACGGGGATGCGTACAATGACGGACAGCCCACTGGCGCCACCTGGCGCCACGTAGACAGCGGGCAGCAGAAGGAGGATGCAGAGACGCGTCGGGAGTTACGAGATGGGGACAAGGAAGGCCTGCCTCGGAAGGTGAGTGTGCAGAAGATGGACTCGTCGAAAACGTGGTCGACACGGGGTATCACGATCAGGTTTCAAACAAGAGTCGGGAATGCTTTGGGACTGGGTTGACGAACTTACCATGGAACGAGACTGGGGGAAGATTCTCTGGTCATAGCTGCGTTTGAATTCTCTGGCGAGGAATTCGCCAAGCTGGCGTCATTTCTAGGTGCGAAAGCATCACCTTTGAAGTCCAACTTGGAACGTTCGTTCCCTCGTAACACTCTTTGAAACTCTTCCACGATTCTTTCGCCGATCAGTATCAATCTGGACAGTAGTCGCAGATTTCTTCTGTGATTCCTGTCTTCTTCAGCATAACACTGTGCAATACGCCGGGCGTCATCGGTTGGCTCAGTGATCCCAGAAAGTGTTTCGTTTGATTCCCTCTGCTGAAGCATTGACCGGTTTCTCCACGCAGCTAATCGTCCTCGAGACCGTCAGAGTCAAGCCACTTGCTCCATAAGGCAGTGTGGGAGCTTGACTGGGTCTGCCCTAACGTCACACACACAGCCGATGTTTGCGTGAATTCGTTGTTGACACTGTCCATGCATTCCACAACTACAACGCCTCCCTACATCTTCTGGCAATCTGCCCTGAATTTTTGAATAATTCGTGCATATTGATTCCCTATGAAAGGATCTGACACTGCGTATGCAAAAAGCAAAAGACGTTTGACACGTGTGCAGCTCAACGACTTCTCCCGTCTCAGCAGACTGCTGATGCCTTCCTTGCGCTTCCCTTGCTGCAGGCACATTTCAAGCTCGCGTGGCGGTCTGCCGACGGGGTTGAGACCACGCATCGGCATCGGCATGAGATTGTGTCGTACGAACGGGGCAACATCTCAAACATGGCCAGGAGTAACAAACAGGTAAGGCGCACAACATCGCACTGCTCGAAATAACTCAAGTATCCTCGATCCGGTTGATCATGTAGACGCATCAGTGTTTTGCTGGCTGGATCTTAGGCTTAACTTCCCGCAAGATGCAGACCGTAAAGTGGGAGACGAATTCATAAAAAGGACACGACAGCGGCTCCAATGATGGACTAATATACGCTTTGAGAAAGCAGCTTCGGATGATGCAACCTGGCTGAGCTTCTCCTGAGCAACGCCTTTGACATCAGTAATCTCACGAAGACAAGCTTCCGACGTCTCCTAGTCCTGAGGACGTGATATCCCAGAAAGAACTGATTTGGCGAACGCCAATATCAACCCACGCTTAACCCCGTGTCCAGGTGGCGCTCATCTGGGAGAGTCCTCCCCAGGCGGTCCTCATTGTGCGCAAGCCCAACTCCCCCAGGGTTAGCAAGATGGTTAAGGAGGTGGTCACGTGGTTAACCGGTGTAAAACACCTCACGGTTGTGCTGGAGCCGCCAGCATACCGAGAGCTGCTCGAGGAGGGGGGTCCCAGCGAGCGGGTAGAAACGTGGCAAGAAGGTGGGGGTTAGAAAAATGCTTGTTTCGATTCCTCGTCCTTCCTGTCATTCCACGCAACTGCGCCAGCCTTGGCCACGTGCCTTGTATTCAAGATGCACTGGCGGCTACCTGGCTCGGTTTGGTTCGGTTCGGTTCGGTTCGGTTCGGTTCAAATCGCTTCGTTTCGGTTCGGTATGGTCCAGACCGCCAAAAGGGGCGGATTTTGAGGGAAGGTTGCAATGGTTACAATGGATCAGCACCTTCTTGGACTGTATTTTCTGCACACCCGTTTAAGGCCTCGCTGGGCATACTCGCCTTCTAAAAGTAGACCTCGGGCTATTCGTCGCATTGGTTGCTCCAGCTCCTCAATTTCAAAATTCAGAACATCTCATTCATCCGGCGAAGACAATCCGCTGAACCTACGATCCGTTTACTTCCCGGTGGTCGTGACACTCCATGCTCTTGGAAATTCTTCATCCTTACTATCATGAACCCTGTCAATCAAAAGAATGCAGTCGGCTTTTAAGAATTCGATAGTCAAGCAGCAAAGACATTGGCTGGCTCCTCTGCAGAGGACGAGCTGCTCTACTTGCACCAGAGGGTCGATCTTGTGGTGACTCTCGGGGGCGACGGCACGGTCCTATGGGTACGTACTCCAAAACGCATACGTTCTTTTTCTTCAGCGATGTTATTCAGTCGTTCTGTTTAGTAGTGTCTGCAGGTTGGCGGAAGCAAATACGTTAGGGGATATCAGCACATGTCTTCGTCGCAGGTGGAAACTGCGCTTCAAAATAAACGGGTCACAGCGACGTTTCTGGCCTCCTTCTGCCAGCGGTTTGCAGTCAAGCGTCTTCTGCGAGTTTTTCTCCTCCGAAGTCCTTTATCTCGATCAAGAGCGCAAACAGATCCTCGGTCGAGATTGCGTCAACGAAAGGAACTTGCTCTACCATCTTTTTTCGAGTTTCGTAAACGTTACTCTCGAAGGCCGTAAGGACCTCGAACGTCAGATCCCGGAGCCCTACATTGATATGGCGCTTAAGACCCTAAATGTTCAAACGATACACCTTGCAGGCGTCGTCCCTGTTCAAAGGCCCTGTCCCGCCCGTGGTCTCCTTCGCCATGGGCTCGCTCGGCTTCCTCACGCCCTTCCCCATCGAGCGGTACCAAGAGTGCCTCTCCTCCCTGCTCAAAGGGCCTATCTACCTGGTAAGCTTCTGGAATCGTTGACCGGTCTTTTCTGAGAAAGACAAGATGCGCATCGGATGTTTTGCTTCGGTGCCCTTGTTTCGAGCTTGCATTTGCCCCGGCAATACCAGGCAGTCTTTCTGATCCAAGGGGTTGCAAGCTCGATGTGTATTGGGCGCAGGCACTATATGAGTGCTTCGAAAATTACAGCAGACCTCTGGCGGGGAGCCGTACAAAGAATTCTGTGCTTGCTCTAAATCAAGTGCAATCTCCGCCCAAAGCTTGTGAGCTGCAGACACGACTTTGAAGCAGGACATTTTAGCTGCCGCAGAGAAGAAAATCGACCGTGATTTGCATTTTTCGTTACTTCAAGCCTCGTCAAGATTTCACACACGCTCTCTCCTGTTGCACAGACGCTGCGCAATCGGATCCAGTGCCGAATTCTTAAAAACAGCGCGAATGAGACGCATCTACACGAGGGGCGCGAGCCGTCGTTCGAAAGACTCGTGCTCAATGAGGTGGCAATCGACAGGGGAATGTGAGTCCTCAGACCCTTACTCTTGAGGCAAGGGTCGTCGAAGAAGATATTCCCAAGATAGGATTGTTCAACGACACTGCTGCTTCTCTGCCTTGGCATTTCGTACCTTCCCCAAGAAACAGGTCTGTTCTCTGCTTACCTACGGTGAATTGTATCCTTTGCTCCTACGAGCAGACTGTTGAACAGAGAAAAGGTCGACTCTCGGTTCTGGCTTGTTGGCCGGTCCAGGACATTCGCTTCTCCAACAGGAGCTTTTGCAACTTGCCATCTTCTTGCCAGGGTGATCATATAGCAAGTCTTTGCTGCTCTGGATTCGACTTGGAAGGCAGATTGCACTCGTACAACTTATAGAGTCGAAGCCGCGAGCAATGAGTACAGCAGTGTCGCTAGCCGTCCGTTTGTGACGTTCTCCAAGCTTCGACTTACGTTTGCCGGAGACCTCCATTTCGCATCCAGGATACGTTTTGCGGTGCATGCAACTTGGCGACGTCTCCGTCCGTCATAGCAAGTTCCGTATCGTAAGACTGGCTCCTCCGCTTTTTGGGCAGGTCCTCCTTCTTGACGAACCTGGAGTGCTACTGCGATGGGGACTTTATGACTACGGTACAAGGGGACGGGTAGGTTTCCGCGTCAGTCTCGCTTGACAACGGTGTGTGCTGCTGTCAGAAAGCGCACTTGGTCGCTTCGTTTGAGCCACATTTCAGCGATGGTCACCGCGATCCCCTTTGCGACAGTCCGTCGTCTCGCAAGGCCGCCCGCTTAAACTCTCATGTCCACGAAAGTGGTGTATCGGAAACTGATCAGATTGCAAATCAAACAAACATTCAAACGTTCTTCTCCGCCAGGCTCATCGTGTCAACCCCCTCCGGCTCCATTGCCTACTCCCTGTCTGTTGTGGCTCAAGTGCGGAAAAGGATCTCAGAAAAAGAAGGAAATGATGGAGCATGATGAAGGAAATATTGTCGAAACCTGTACCCTATTCCTCCGCCAGGCTAATTGTATCGACCCCCTCTGGCTCCACCGCCTACTCCCTATCGGCGGGCGGCTCCATGGTGCACCCGCAGGTCCCCGGCATCCTGTTCACGCCCATCTGCCCCCACTCGCTCTCCTTCCGGCCGCTCATCCTCCCCGAGTACGTCTGCCTCCAAGTACAAGTACCGTTCGAAACGCGCGGCCAGGCGTGGGCGTCATTCGACGGTGGGTTTCGATGACTACCCGGACATCATCTTTTCCGTTCCCCTACAAGCTTTTCTCCACAACATTTGTCCCGGTTTGAAGCGAGGCGTTTGCCACGTCTGCCTCCAAGTACAAGTACGGTTCGAGACGCGCGGCCAGGCGTGGGCGTCGTTCGACGGTGAGGTTCGGACATCATTTTGACGCTCGTAGTCGTGAGGCGGACTCTTCAGCCCTGAATCAAAAACGCAATTTCGTTATGCGGACGTGCTTATACAGACGGAATGGAGCATTTGGAAGGGTACGTCCGCCTCCAAGTGCAAGAACCGTGGAAATGCGCAGCCAGGCGTGGGCGTCGTTTGACGGAGAGGTTTGGGATTTGTCCACCACTTCTAGCGTTACTCGAAATTGACGTCAACCTTGCGAACGCCCTCAGCCAAAAGCGATGAGTTCTGCAGACTTCGTCTTCCATAACGTGCAAGTGTCCTATCAACTGCGTCGGCCAGTCCCTGGGACTTACCCGACTCTGCGTGTCTCAAGTATTCTGGGCTCTTTGGACTCCTGTCTGGACGTTATTTGGAGACCCCATGGAAAAGACTTTTGGGACGAGTGCGCTCCGGATGCGCAAATTCCTTAGCGCCCTTGTCCGATGGAGACTTATCTACTCGTCACACGTTTGTGGACGTCTCTCTAACAATGTTACTGACGCTCTTACGGTGCAGGTAAGCGATGGGTTGAGTCCGTTTTCCTCTTGCCGAGCTGATGCGAATCTGGTTCTTGTGCAGGGCGGGACAGGCGGCAACTATGCCCGGGGGACTCCCTCGTCCTAGAAATGTCGCACTGGCCGGTGCCCGGTAGGTCGCCCCGGGCTTGACCCTAAACTCCTAAACCCTTAAATCCCTGAAACTCAAATCTCTGCACATCGGGTTCTCCACACATTATGGATCGTACTGCACTTGTCGGAAGTCTCTCCCACTGTCACTTTGAGCCATAAGGCGGGTGATTTCATAGCTCCGTCACTTGTAGACATGCACATATCTCACGCTGGTTTTTGGTTAGGGTCTCCTTGGACGGACAATTCTCCTTTCTGTCTCTGTTTTCCCGCTGTCCATCTTAATGCTCAAATATTCGATCCCCCTTCGCAGCTGCGTGCCGAGAGGACCCGACTCAAGACTTCCTAAATAGTGCCCGGGAGAATCTGCATTGGAACCTGCGTAAGATGCAGGAGTGAGGGGCGCTTGACCCAATTACATGGCTAATTGCACTTCGTCCAACATTGATTTGTCTCCTTGTACATATTCGCGGAAGGAGATCCTGTACAGTCATTTTTGCACAGGCACAAGGACTTACTTGTGCAAACCTTCCAATTGAATGGGCGCGCTCAGGAATACGAGGTTTTTGGCAACGTTGGGCTCGCAAGCAGCTGATAAAAGTCGTCGAAGCGGCAATCGAAGAAACTTATTGTATCTTCTACCTGAAACAAGCTGTTATGTCAACACCGCGGTCCGCAGATAACTAAGACTTCTAAAATACTCCAAAGGAGAGCGAATTGATTTGTATTCAATAGACATCAAACTTATAGGAATTTGCGGGCAGGCCACCTTCATTCAGATTTCGATCACACAGCTTTTAAGGTCATCCATGAGATCATGTCCTCCGATCCCGACTAGCTTTTCAGAAATATTGAGGGGACACGTCTGTACAAACGCGTGCATAAGCGGGCCGTTAATACTACCTTACCGGAACGGTATGATTCCGAATGGTCGAAATTGCTAATCATTTACTCGAGTACGACCTCTTTTGACGATATATTTCATCCGACCCTGATTCTGATGCGATCCGCCCTGGGAACCCTCCCGAGCATGCTCCCGAGAGTGCACTTCTTTGCCTCTGAAAAGCTACTGCTGAAAGGATGACCGGCTGAAAATTTTGAACTCCGACGGCAAGCTTCAATGCAACTATTAAGTTTCTGAATCCAAAAAATCACTTTCTGAACGAAAAATAGGTAATGTAGCTTTCCGAGGGTCAATTATACATATTTAATTATTTGGAATCATACCGTTCCGATACGGTATATATTCGAAGTCCATTGAATGGATGTGCTTCGAATCATGGCCGCGGCAAGCTCGCATGTAGGCACTGTATATGCTGCATCCGACATAACAAGACATTGTGAGGTCCAAAAGATCAATACTATGATATTGAGCGCGTGATACGAAATGTTTGTAGCCTGGAAATGGCCGGCCTGAGCGCGGAATGTTTCGTAACCAATTGAGCGCGCAGCATGCAAAATAATGTCCAAGCCAATCATGCTCTTAAGCAGGTCGTACGTTTCATGATGCACGTCCTGCACCTAACAAGCAACCGTCGCTTTGTAATACGACGCGTCGTATCACTGTCACGGCATGGACGGTCCTGCGGACGTACTGTCGATCCCCTAATCAAGAGGCGACCCCTAACAAAATCCGAGTCAGGCGTATGGTATGCGAGTTATATGTAAGTGCAATCAACGACGTCAAATCCAAGCGTACGGAGAGCCTCCCCATCTTGTTACTTGAGTGCATCCGTCTGCCAGGGCATGATCCAATAATTCAAAAGCTGCGCTCTTCTTCGAAACAAGCGCATGCATGCCATGTACATCCAGTTGGCAAGTGTGTCGCCCGGCCGGCCACAATAATAAAGCAGAATTTATCGTAAGTAAACTGCGGATTCTGACAACTTACTAACAGCTTGATGCTCTGCCTCGCATAGGCATGGTTGCTGCAGTTTATTGTTTGACAGAAGCCTATCATTCAGTTTCAAAAGACGATTTTGAGAGTCAAAGCTTCTTCGGTCTCGAGTTCTGTTGCTTTCTTTCTCGGTGTTCCTGCAAGAGAAGAGCAAACAGACTTGTGAAGCCTTATGGTTGTTACGCGTCTGATAATCCTGACTTAGTTGAACAAAATATTCTAAGACTAAGCCCAATTAATCACCTTTTTCAACTTCTCACCTTCCATCAGTCCTTCTTCTCGCTTTCGGTGCTCTCCACTTCCCAGGGGGCAGGCTTGAGTTGGGCTTTCACGCGCTCCTCACGAGCTTGCACATTCATTTTGTAGATCTTATTCTGGAGTTCGTAGGCTGCGTCAACGAGGCTATTACTGTGACGTCCCAGCTGTTCGCCACACAGAGCGCATGTCTGAACCACGCAAGTTCGCCCGTGGTTCCCTATTGCGGTCAGCAGCTCTGATGTCTCCTCTCTCGAGCGCGATTCTGCATTCGAGGTCCAGTCCTTTCCCCGATCCAGCTCAATTCGGCCAAGCTCTGGCAGGACCAGAGTCCACAGCTCCTCCTTGCCATTCCTGATGTGGACCGCGCTGTCTTTGCCATCGAAGAGATGCACCAAGAAACATGCCAGGCTCTTTATTTTCTTTGAGCTGCCGGCGTTGTCCTGATCAAAGCCCTGCAGAACTTGGAGCAGACCCCGTGCGAACGCCCGGGGGAACTCTGCTTCATGTGCACGCCAGCAGTCGAGCAGGCGAGCAGCGTGCACCTTCATCTGGACCCTGCAATCAAAAAGCTCGCTGATGTCACACTCAGACACCTCATTCAGAATCCAGGGGACGACGACAGAAGGAGAAGCGGCTGCTTTCTTCTCGAGTGTCTTCTCGGAGTGGAAGTTCTTCTCCAGTTGGCTCGTCTCTTCAGGTTGAACCTTCACAGGCAGATCTGGTGCCATATCCTTCTCGAGCTTCTCGGGGACGTTGTCCTGCTTGGGGGACTTGCTTAGGGTGCGCTTCATTGCAGAAAATACGCCCATTGTTGCGGAGAAGCTAGAGCGGATGCGCCTTTTCGTGCGTCTTGTTACTCAGACCTTGAAGATGAATGTGAACCTTGAATCTGGAAGATTACTGCGGACAAGTTGTTCAACTGATCTCGGCTGGCTGCGCGAGCAGATGCATTTGTGTCTGCCAGTCTGGAGAATTACTCCACTTTGTTCAGGTTTGTTCAAAGTCTGTTGTTTGTTCAAACTAATAGTCCTAGTCTCGACGCGGGCGGCTGCAACCGGCGGCCGCGTGGGTCCAACTCATTTCAAGGGGGTTTGACAAACGGGACGATGCCGCGGGCGCGGCCGCGTGGCCGTCAGACAGTACGAGTCTGCCAACAGAATTGACTTGATTTTCCTTAGAAGGGAAGAAGTCTTGATTTTGATTTCTTGATTCAAAGGATAACGTTTCAGCGCATTAGTCCTGGAGCAGCACCACTTGCGCAACTCCCTCTGTCAACAACTTAGCTCTTTCGGTCGCAATTCGTCTTATCGCACGGTGGTTGACGGCTCAGAGCGCGGCCGGCCAATTGCAACTTCTGTTATGGCGAGCGGCAAAGGTGAGTTGTTCGACGTTAGCGATGCTCCTTGCATGTTGAACAGCTGGTCTCGAGGTGTCTTTCTCCTGCTCCGTTCGATCATTATTTTGCAAACAGGTGTTGACTCGTTCAAGCACGCTTTCCCCGGTGTTGTGCTGTGAAGAAACTTCTGTAAGAGTACTTCTCGTTAAAGTTTTGAAGGATTTGCTGGCTTTGCGAAACACCTCATCTGAATTCCAATGATGTAGCAAGCTGTGCTTCTGTGATTGTGGTTTGTTCAAAATCATTCCAACTTTGATTCTACTGATTCCAGGAAGAGAAAGGTTCCTGTTGCTTAGCAACACTTCCTTCTGTTCTAGAACGTCCTTCCAGCATTACTTTGCTCGGTATCGTTTCCCGATTGAGAGCTTTTTGAACGTCTTTGTTCAAAACCTATCTTAAAAGCTCTCAAAAGCTCTCCAAACTTTTGTCCGTGTGCCATGAGTCCTAGCAGGTCAATGGTACTATGTGCGAGTGGTCATAGAGTCTTATGTTTGGAGGTCGAGAGTATGTTGGTCTGAAGTCCAGCTGTTTGTTTTGGAAGAAGAGCTGAAACAGCCCCAGAACGCCTTGAAGACTTACATTGACATACCGTGTTTCAGGGAACTGTCTGAATCACAGGATTACTTTGTGACAACTCAGAAAGCTCGGCTCCACTAACATCGTACTACTTCGTATGCTTTCTATGATAAGCATCGGAACCTTGTCTTGTTCAGATCCCACAAGTACGACGCTTCTACTCTCTTTCCAGTGACGTCTTTGGCTTCTCGAGGTGAACAAACTGCACTTTTCATGACGCCACGTCTCTGTCCCCTGGCAGGAACCCCGGGGGAGTACCCCGACTGGCAGCAGTACGCAGAATGCCTGACAAGCGACACCCGGTGGAGCACGCATCTCTCCACCGACAAACTGGTGTACCGACCCGGTGACACCGTCCACATCCGCGCAGTGCTGCTCCACCCCATCACGGGGGCGCCGGTGTCAAAGGAGCCGTCTGCTTATGGAAAGGACGGTACCGTAAAGGTAAGGAGTTTCTCTAATGGTATCAGACCCGTATTAGGCAATGGACCTCCTCTTTTTCTGTTGGTGACCTGAGAAGCCAACTTTCCAAGATCCCGCAGAATTCCTGAGCATCAATGTTTCTGCGGTGGAGAGGAAAAGTGGCTGAACTTGACATGAAAGTGTTGGGAACCAAAGGCACCGTGACCAATTTGCATGACCCAAATGTTCGTCTGAACAAAAGAAGACGGGGCGTTGCTCGTACGCCTCTTCCTATTTTCTACATAAATTCTTTCTAAATTTCGCTCGTTTCCTCGACAGGTCATGTCTCCCAAGGGCAGCGTAGAAGCCTCTGTCGCTACGAGTCAGCCAGAGGACAGCGTGGCTTACGCCATGTGGCGAGTCCCCGAGAGCCTGCCCGGAGGAGAATACACTCTGAAACTGGAATACTCTGAATATAACCAGATGAGATGCAGCCCCTCGGCGGAGAGGAAGATCCAGATCCGCAACTTTCGGAACCCGAAGCTGAACGTGAGGGTGGAGTTTCTGGGGAGGGGGTACGGACCAGGAGACGAGGTTCGTGCAAAGGTGAGGGGTGTTTTGCTCTTTACCCACCAAGTGACAGATAGGTCTGAAGCGAGAAATCACTGCTATTGCATAGCAGAAGGAGGATGGTCTGCTGCCGATCTGCGAACTGCAAGTGTGTTTGATCAGAGAAGCAACGCAGGAGTGAAAATCCACGGGAAGAACGGAGTTTGAGAGCTACTTCGAGAGCGGAAGGGAAAGAATTAGCGATCTCAAAAAAATTCGAACTTGCCTGAAGATCTTCAAAATCTATCGACATTCGAATCTGTCTTCCTTGCTTTTGGCTCGTAAGATCGTAATTTTGAGGATTATCATCTTGGTTACCTCTCCTTGAAAGACAAGGGAAATCTTGCGCCTCAACCCCCCTTTCTCGTTGGGTTTTGCAAACCTGAAAGATGACATCCCAGTTGCACTGTCATACCCCGACTCCCCGTTACCAAACACCTCCACCAACTTTTTCCCGTTTCGCTTGTCCAGGTTTCGGTTACCAGAGCCGAAGGCGGCCACCCTCCCGCCGGGACACGTGTCAATCTCTCCGCTCGCGTTGATGGCTGCAGCGTTTACTCCGAAAAGGGCGGCCTCGACGATTCGGGGGTGTGCTATACCACATTCAAACTGCCCCCCAAAATGGAAAAGGGTTTGGGCTCTCTGAGCGCCATGGTACGCGACGGGGGCCACGTGGAGAGCGGCAGCAAGACGATCCCGATCGTGTTCCAAACGGTGGATGTAAAGTTCTACCCGGAGGGAGGGCCGCTCGTCCCTGGTAGGGTTTCGAGGTATTGTCTGTTTGATTCTTGTATTTGAAAAACAAAGGCCCGTCCCACTGACAGGTCGGCGCTGGTCGGGGATCGTTTGTGCATTTCTGTCGAGCTCAAAAAGCCTTTTGGGAACTGTTCTGCTTGAATTCAAACTCCTCTGTGTCTCCACATAGAAAATTAAACAAAGTTCCAGATCCTTCAAACAAAAGTTGCACTCAACATACGGTTTTGGTCGTCGCTTTTTGAAAACGCTGTCTCCTTTCCATCATGTTCCGCCTTGTTTCGTAATCATTTTAAGAGAGCTTCTGTAGCTTCATAAGAACTTGGAGTACGTTTGGACCGGATTCTACTGGCATGCATCAATTCTTTCTCTCCGTTCGCTTGTGGCTGTTCCTTCGACCCTAACTAGAGCGAAGGACTTTCCTTGGAACTTGGACTTCGTAGTTGGACTTACTAGGAATCTCCCCAACTACATGCTTTGACTTGCAACCAATTAAACGGAATGGCGCCAGAGGCCAAAGAAAAGAGCGACATAACGAATAGTCCTCGTCCCGAAGGCTTTCGCTTTGATTGGTCAACCAGACGAGAAAATCTTGCCTTTTTCTGCAGGCCTCGAGAACCGCGTCTACTTCGAAGCGCGCGACCCGAAAGAGGAGCCCCTCGAGGTTGCGGGCGAGGTGTGGGCAGTTGGTGGGAATGCGCCCCTCGCCACCTTTGCGGCAGTCCACGAAGGCCGCGGCCGGTTCGTGTTCACACCGACCATCGGCACCTACTACGAGGCCCGCATCACCAAGCCAAGCGGTATCACAAAACCGATCCGTTTGCCGCACGTGGAGTATCAGGCGAATCACGGGCTGCCACGTGTCGTCCTGAGAGTGAACTCCCCTGGTGCTGACGTCGAGATGACCGACGCTGGGACGCCGCAAAACCCCGGGGATTCCGTTCCCGTTTCCGTCGGGAGTTCCGCTCCGGCGAAGCTGCGTGTCGTGCTGTACAAGCGCGAGGTGGCCCTCAACCGCCAAGACATCGACATTTCCGCCGCGAGGGGCTTCCAGCAGGTGTCTCTGTACCCCCCGGGCGCGGAATATTCCGGCGTGCTGCGGGCGACCGTCTTCGCGGAGAGCCGCGACAAGAAGTGGACGCCCGTCGCGGAGCGGCTGGTCTTTCGAGCTCCAATCAACAAGCTCCACGTGGCAGTGTCTGGGGGCCCGGCCCAGGGGGGCGGGGTGGACTGCGTCCCCGGGGGGGGTGCCAAGGTGGAGGTTACGGTAACCGACGCGATTACCGGGGAGCCGATTAACGGAGCCGTGGTGGGTTTGAGCGTGGTTGACAACATTAATCTGGAACTGGTGGAGCCGCGCAGGCGCGCGCCGCGGCTCCCGTCCATGGCGCTTCTGGAGAACGAGGTAAGCGAAATAGAAAATGGGCTAAGGTAACCATGATGATGCTGGGACAAAGAGATAGGATCGTTTGACACGGTTAAGGTAAGCGTGCTGCTGGTATGACACAACAAAGAAGGCGTCAAGGGCCGCAAGAAAATAGTCTAGGGGGTCAACATTCTGCTTGTTTTCGATATTGAGTGGGAATCGAACATTCGGAATGATGTTCCTTGCAGTTGAATGAAGTTAAGAGGAAGGAATGATTGAATGGATAAAAAGGCTCATGGCTGGTGCGCACGGTCATAAACTTCATGCTCTCCAGAAGCTGGCGCAGTCTCCGGTTTCGTTTCGTTCGCCTGCGACTCGCTCTCCATACGAAAATCCAAGCAGAGCGACAGATCCTCAATCCAACTTGTTAAAACACGAACAGAGACTCGTTCCGACTTTTCAAAACACAAACGGCAAGCTCGTCTAACGTGGATTGCCTATCTAACGACAGGTGAATCACCTCGAGGACTCCGCGGCCTACGTCGACGGCTCAGATCTGCCCGGCGGCTCAGATCCATCGTTGGCCGTCGATCTTTTGCTTGGCACCCAAGGCTGGCGTCGCTTCCTCTACCTGAACCCCTTGGAAAAGCTGAGGGGGTCTAGTGGTTCCAGCGAAAACAAGGTAAGTTGTGTCCCCTGCAATTCCTGAACGCAGCTTACCTTTGCATCGAACTTTGAGGCACCGTAAGCTTCGAAATCGAAATTGCAGAAAGTTCTCAGATCCTCAGATACATGAAACCCTGAAACCCCGAAACCCCGAAACCTGAAACCCTGAAATTCTGAAACCCTAAACCCTCGAAACCCTGAAACTCTGCAACCCTGCAACCCTGCAACCCTGTAACCCCGGAAGCCTGAAACTCAACCTTGAAACCTTGCAACCTTGAAACCCTGAAACCCTGAAACCCTGAAAACCCCTATCCAGGAAAAGTTTGAGCGCGCGGCCGGCGTGCGCGCTCTTGAGTACTGGAACCCCGAATGGGAGATGGCTCGCCGTAGCGGCCGTTATGAAAGCAGCCAGATCAGATCATTGGCCAGGGGTGAGGAGTCTGCGAGAATCGACCCCACAGACGGATATTACGACGGCCTTGAGGAGTCGGATGTCTGGGAATGCGATTCGGAGGAGGACGATTTCGCGGAGCCCGACGTGGACGAGGACTGGCTGCCTGCTGACGTGGCAGCTGACGTGGCGGCTGACGTGGGCAGTGACGAAGAGGACGCAGGAGCGCAGCCCGAGCCAGCAGGTATGGTTTCGAATTGGGGTTTGGCTTTTGGCTAACCACCGCTCGGGTTGTGGCATCGTTCGCACAAATAGTTAGATGCTTTCGTGGTTAGGGCAGGCAGGGCAGCGTCACAATAAAACCACGCGAGCAAGGGAGTCAGTTTGCGCAACACGTGTTCAGCTTGAAAGCGAGATCAAGGCTTTATCTGGGCAGGGAAATCTCATCACGCGATTGCGCGGTACCATAAGCGTCAGTTCAGGTGTGCGTGGAAGATATTCGGAGCCCAAGGCACCCTTCGAGATTCACGGTGTCTTAAAGAGAGGGTAAGCAAAGAGAGAGTAAACGAAGTTGCTCTATCGGCATGCCCAAGAGCCATTTTTCAGTTGATGAAATTACCGATTCTTTCAAGTTTTACCCATGATGCTATTGCCTTCTATGCTCGTCCTCTTCAATGCGCTTCTCAACTCATCCAGCAATTTCCAGTTATGCTTCTTTATGATTGTCCTCCTGTTTTGTCAGAGCGAGCGATACCGAAGAGACAGAAGCAGCATCACATCGTTCCGGTACGGGTCTACGCTCACAGGCGTCCAAAGCAACAGTAAGTGATTCATCAGACTTATCGAGCGGAACATATCGTTTGAGTCAACAGATTGCGGGTTGCGAAGTTTCAATCGGACACTGTCGCACGTTTGTCGCATGCTATAACCTGTCGGGCAGCCAAAGGACGCTGGTTGGTTCCAAAACATTGTGTGGCTCGCAGCTTTTTCGTAGGCAACTAACTCGATGAGCGATTCTTGAGGGGTCGTAATAAGCGCCTCTCCTGTGTATGCTTGTCCAAGTGAATCTCTCTCGTTACGAAGCAGTTGCTCAGTAGACTCGCATTCTCTTCGCTTTTCTGAATGGTGAACGTTCGAACGTCCTCGCTCTCTGACGGTGCGACGCAAAAGAGGATCCTTATGTTTGCTGACGTTTCCCTTCCAGAAGCGTGCACGAACGGTCCGACTTCACGGAGACGGTCTACTTCGCCGCGTCCTTAGTTACGGACGCGCACGGCAAAGCGTGCGCCGAGTTTGACGTCAGCGACTCGATCACGTCATTCGCCGTCATCGCCGACGCGCACAAGGAGGTAACGCTCGACCCTGAGACCGGGGCAACCGTTACCGCGTCCCCGACCCAGAAATGGCGCAACATGCCGGGCAGCAAGTCGGCCGCCGTGGCCGCGTTCGCGGCAGGGGCCGCGCGGACGGTCCGCACCGTCGCGCTCGGGGCTTCGGACGGCGTTTTCAAGCTCCGGTCGGTGAAGCCGTTCTCGGTCGATGCCAAGTGCCCCCTGGAGCTGACAGCGGGCGACCGGGTGCTGCTACCGGTCACTCTGGCGAACGCGTCTCTCGAGCGACTCTCGGTCACCGCGCAGGTGGGATAATTCTCGTTTTAGGTTTAGGATTTTAGGGTTTAGGGTTTTAGGGTGCTGGGGCACTCACAGTACGACTTCGAGTCGGCTTGGCTGACGCTCTGCTTCCATTACTAACATCGTTGTTGTGTTATCGAACGTTGATAATAGAACTGCATGAATATATATAAAAGGTCATCCTGCCGGGCAAAAACATATTGAAAAACCTTCACTTTCACTGTACAAGCGCTCCCCACTTCAACACCCAAGCCAACCCAATCCGTCCCCGCGCTTGACGTCATCATCCATACGGCGTATCATTGATAGAAGCGAGTCTTTTGCAGGTGGGTGTCCGAGGGCCTTTGTCCCTGGAGGCGAGCCCCCCCGGAGGAAACTCAACCGGGGCCAACACCGCCGGACGCAAGTCATCCGGACCGGTACCGATGGACGTCGACACGCCGGGGGCATCCGAACCGGCCAGCTCAACGGTTCTCAAACAGAGCCTCGACGCCTCTAGAAGTGCCCGGGAGATCGTTCCGGTCGTGGCCGGAGGTGCCGCTCTCGCGGCCGCTTACAAGAGCATGACGTCAGACGAGCCGAACCCCCTGCCAAGGGGCTTTGTGACGGTAAACGCCGCCGCGTCGTTTGGAGGGGGTGTCAAGAAAGGAGGGCTGGTTCTCAGGGACGAGATCAAGAGGGGTTTCGCAGTAACGCCCAAAGGCTTCCCTCAGGAGCAGTCAGCGGGGGGGATGTTGAAGCCGGGAACGAGGAGCGGAGGAGAGTTTGCGCTGCCGGAAGATACGCAGCCCGGGAGCGTGGTGACGTCTGTAACGGTGTTCCCGTGTCCGGTAGGTTTTCCTCGTCCTGCCATGCGATTCTTACCAAGAAATTCTTTTCTCGACTCCGCTGTAGGGCATTTCTCCTGATAATTCTAATGCTTACCATCGCTTCCTTCTTCGCCTTCACACTGTCATGCGATTCTTATTCTAAGTTCTCGTCTTCATGCAACTCTTACCATTGGTGTTTTTTCCGTCTTTCATCTGTATGCGATTCTTACAAAAATACACAACTTGCATCGGAAATGTTGACTCCGCTCACTTGGTAATAACTAAACTTGCCGTTCCTCATCAGCTGACGTTGGCTCTGCGCTTCCTTATCCTTGAAATTCCTTTTTGATCTTATGGGAAGGGAGCGGATGCACTTTACTTGCCAATTGGGCTAGCGGTTCCGATGCTCTTGTACCCTATTGTGTATCTAAACCACTCTCCACTTTTCGCCGGCACGTTTCTGCTTCCAAACAGTTTGAGTCTTGACAGCACCTAACGCTGCTGATTTTGTTTCGCAGCTGGCCAACTTTTCCCAGTCCCTCTCAAACCTCGTCCGCGAACCGCAGTTATGCAAGGTCAGCCGTTAAGAAATGCCAGAAAAGAAGCTAAAATCATAGAAATGTTCTCTCCAACCCAGTGGTTCTCTTTTCGCAGCTGGCCAACTTTGCCCACTCCCTATCGGCGCTCGTCCGCGAACCGTACGGCTGCTTCGAACAAGCGTCCGCGACCATATACCCCAACATCCTGGCGCAACAGTACTTCAAGACGCATACTGGCTCGTCACCCTCGCTGGTGGAAAAGTCGTATACGCTATTGGGTCAGGGCCTGAAGAAACTGCGCGGCTATGAGGTGAACGGGAGCGGAGGGTACGAGTGGTTCGGGCATGCGCCGGCGCACGAGTCTATGACCGCGTATGGCCTGATGGAGTTCGTGGACATGGCGCAGGTGGGGAGCGCTTATGGCTACTCATTTGTTTTCGAAGTACGTTGCTATCATCTGCTTTGCAACGAGAGTATTCCTTCGGAGCCTATTTTGATCAATGAGTTCCAGTCACTAAATCGAACGGCTAGCCAAGCGGAGCCAGGCTTCCCTTAGGCGAGCGGCTCGTTGATAAAGCGGTAAAGTAAGGAGTTGAACGTTGTTTAGGATCATCAGGTTCAGTAACCGCTTCCGGGCCTACTCAACAGTAACTTATCAGACTCTCTCAGAACGCTTTGCGTCAGCTTTCTTGATATGTTCCTTGAACGAAGTAGGAAGCGAAGCCTTCTGGGATCGATTGAAAAACTAAGCCAAACTTCATGCGCTTTGCACCCGTACGGAAGGTAGCCCCCTAGGTGAATCACCCGTTCCAGTTTCTGTTCACTGAGCACACTTTTACAAACTCGACCAGTATGTAAGTAACCTCAGCCGTTTTGTTTCCAGGTGTACCCGGTCCCCGAGGATATGATCCGTCGCACGCGCGCGTGGCTCCTCAGCCGCAAGGACGACTCCGCGCGCGCGTTCCGCATCAACCCCCGCCTGCTCGAGCACTTTGGCGGGGCCCCCGCTGACGTCACTAACGCCTACATCGTCTGGGCGCTGACGTGTGCCCAGATGACGGACGGGTTTGAACCCCAGGCGAGTTCTCAACAGATTACGTTCTTTCCACCTCTTCTGTTCTCACTTCGGAGTCCGTATCTGGCAACACCTCTCTTCGAGGTTCTGAAACAACGTTGGTTTGATCCATCCGCTTGAAGACTGTTCCTTGCTGTGCGGTATTATGCGGAATAATGCAGCCTACAATCTAAAACGAGGCCGGTTTCACAAGGTCAGGCTGGCCCTTTGTCCCTTCTCTTTCTCCCGACCATTGCAGCACGTGTGTCGCCCAGAGCACAAAGGGCTTGTCGAGTCCCCTGTTCTCCACCTTTTTCCCGCTTGAAACCGACGGTCTCTCTAGGTGCCGAACTGTGGAGATTACAGATGGGGACCGGCTCGTTGCCGCACTGAAGCATGTGGGCTCTACATCTACCGGACGCGCATCTGAGGCGTTTCTCTTTTCTCCGCAGATTGCCAACCTCTTGGAGCAAACGGCGACCAACCGGGACCCTTACTTCACCGCCCTGGTCGCCAATTCGCTGTACAATCTGGGCCGCAAGGAGGAGGCCGCCGCGCTGGCTAAAAGACTCGAGATATCCCAGGTTAGAGGCTGTCTCCAGATCACTGATTCCATGAACGTACAACCCAAGCAAGTGAATCATGTCGCAAGTACTATCCCCCGACCACCACCTTTTGCCTCCGGCACGCGAAATTTTGATGAAACTAGAATCGAGAATTTGAGGGAGGTCTCCTTTCGTCGAGGGGCCGGTTCTTATTGATTTCGAATCAGCGAGCGCGGGAACCACCTACTTCGGTATAAGGTATTCGCGAGCGGCGTATACGGCGTGACACATGTCACCAGTACAGTTGCACGGCCTGCAGGAAAACAACTTTTTTATGCATCCAGAGATGCATCCAGTTTCTTGCACAGGCGATCTGTATCTCAGAGCGGCTAAAGGGGGTCTCGGGGTTTAACATAGAGAATTTGGAAATAGCTTCTAAGATTCCAGCCCCGTTGGAGACGTTTTCAAATTCAACACCCCGCAAAAGTATCCAAGACGTTCTTCAGAATCTGCAAAAGTTTCTGCAGAAGGAGGACGGTCACGTCGCCGGCGCCAAGACGTCCATCACGAGTTCCGGCGGAGAGTCGCTGCTCATCGAGACCACCGCCCTGACCACGCTCTGCTGGCTCAACGAGTACCAGGTAGGTTATCTACAAGTTGTATTCTAGATCGATCGAGACTTTCAGGAAATCAAACTATCCGTCAAATCTCTGCTTATGAGGTCGATGCATACGTCATTCGCATAGCGACGCCATTGTCGCAGGGTGCGGCTCCAATTATCCCTTCGTTAGCGTAGTGAGGCTTTTATCATAAGGCGGACCGTTCCTTTAGCTCTTGCGCAAATCTGGTCAGCGGCTGGTGTTGAGAAGCTGAGCGGGGCCTAAGTTCGCACGTCATCGGCGGGAGAAGGTCCTCAAGACAGCGGAGCTTCCAAGTAGACTGCGCATGCGGATTGTGCAGATAAGCTCAAGCAATGATGCTTCCTGGCATGGAGGCGCAGCGGTCGAGAAATATAACGGTCATGGTCGAAGTAGTCCAAGCACTGAGCTTTGCGGTTTCTTCCGTCACCAGGTCTTTGGAGGCCGCATCCGCCGCGCCGTCGATTGGATCGCCTCCCGCTGCAACGGCGGCAAGTTCGGCTCCTCCCAGGGGACCGTGCTCGCGCTGAAAGCGATCGTCGCCTATGACGTCATGATGGCGTCAGAGCGCGCTCCGGGGACCGTTCACCTGCTCGTGGACGGGGAGCGCGTCGAGAGCAAAGCGTTTGATGGGAAGACGGAGGGGACGATAGCGTTTGGGGACATAAGCGCGCGGCTGGCGGCGGACGGGCGTAAGAGGCGGGTGGAGGTGGAGATGGAGGGTGGCGCGGATATGCCGCACGCTATGCAGGTAAGCGCATAACGTAGCGTGCTTGACAAAAATATATCGCTTGGGTGACTTGGGATTCAAGGGCACCACTAGAATTTGTTGCTGCAGGTCTGAACGCTGAAAAAGACCTTCGAGAGCGTCACGGTCGAATGAACAATTCTGAATGTCGGCGCTGGTGCTGATTTTGAGAGAAAAAACGAGTTTCAACCGTCATATTGGACCCTTGAGGTATTTTCTTTTGCCTTCCTCGAATCTGCGAAAGATGATATCTTGTGCGCACCTGCTATCAACTGTATCCACCGAGTCAACAAGAAGACACGTCCTTTGCACCCTCTACGCCTCGAGGCTTGCTGCTTCAGTCCTTCAAAGCATGATCAGCGCAACGGTATCTGACCTCGAATCTTTTCAATGATGCAGAACTCCCGTCTTGCATCGTTCAGATATCCATAAGAAAGTATTTGGCTTGGCGTGAAACCGCGTTTGTTCGCTCTCAGGTCTCATACTACTCGGAGCGCCCCAGCTCCGCGGCCGCGTGCGCTGTAGCGCTAGCGGCCGCGCTGCAGCAGCCGATCGCCAACGAGGGCGACCTTGTGGACATTCTTCTGACTGTGGAAAACAAGAAAGAGAGCGAAGCGCTGCCAATGACTATCGCCATTTTGGGCCTCCCAGGGGGGCTCGAGCCGCGCCCTGACCAACTGAGGGAGCTCGTCACGCGGGGCGACGTCGATTTGTACGAGGTGGGTTTTAGTTTCCAACTCAATACGGATGCTAAACAATAAGCCGAGTGAACAATAAAACGACATTTCTGAGACTGGTAGGGTTAGGTTGGGGTTCGGGTGGGTGCGTGCGGGATTGCAATACTCCTGGTTTTTATTTTCCCTTAGGAAAGGGCACTAATATAATCCAGGTCGTCGAGTTTCAGGGGCTTTGGCTGGTTGTCTACTCTCTGGCAGATTCCTGAATTCGCTCTTTCACCCTGTAGTTGTACATCAAGTGCGACACTTTTTCCTTCTTGGAAGCGGTTGCTAGTCTTAATCACCTTCTTAAAGTTCCTTCATCTGGTTTTTCCCAGCAGGACGCGACGTCTGTGAACGCCCCAAACTCATCAAGGACCTAGTTGAGCTGCCAATTCCAGTTGTCATGAGTACGAATCCACGTCTGACTGACAAACCTGACCACTCCAACAATCATTTCTGCAGCTCCGCGGCCGCGACGTCATCTTCTACTGGCGCACCCTGGCAGCCAAGCAGAAGGTGACGCTGCGCTTGGAGGCGACCGCGGCAGTCCCTGGCGAGTATGTCGGCCCCGCCTCCCGAGCCTACCTCTATTACACCGACGAGCTCAAGACCTGGGCGGATCCCATCAAGTGCAGCATCGTTCCCAAGTAGAGCGGACCAGGTGTCATATATAAGAGTGCATCAGAAGGTTCGCCGTACGCAGCAGATTTAGCTAGTAGGACCACCGCGTAGGATGCATCACTTGCTGAGACTCAGAGTGGGAGACAATTTTGCATCAGAAGTGTCCCAGTTTGTGCAGCAGGTTAGCTCGTAGATTGATCCTGTCTGCTTTTTCCCGGTGAATCACCTTGGTATTCTGCCATAGCCAGTAGCTTCTTCCCGGATCTAAGAACCATCTTTTAGCATTTTCTGTTTTCTAAGAACCTCTTGCACCCTCGAATCTTGGAACAGCGGTCGGTCCGGTCAATCTGTCAGTTTTGAAGAACAATTTCTATGGTTTATTTTCCGTTCTAGAACCTTTTCCACCCTTTTGAAGATGAGACTAGTGTCGGGTCAATCCGTCATTCCGCAAGTCACAACTCAGTAGGGCGATCGACTTTGGTTTCTGGGACCAAACGACAGGAGAATTTCAAATGGCTCACATACAATAGCAGCCTGTTCTTGCCAGAAGTAACGGACACGTTGCAAATGTGCAGAATCTCAAAGATCTCAAGCTGCTACAGAACTGACTCGCGAAACAATCATTGCAATCTCTTCTATGAGTGCACAAGCTCAGTGATGCTCTCTCTGGTTGGCACCTCGAGGAGCCAACTCGATTGACGATGTTCGGATTTGTCATCACCATTTGTAGCTAAACACATGCTGCTAAACCATGGTTGAAATTTTACAAGCGTGACTCGTATTTACCGCGGTCAAGCAACGCTTATTAGAGTCAAAGCAGTTGCCTGACACGTCGCTTATAGGAGGTGTCACAAGAGTCGGTCGGAAATAGGAGCGTTTTACAATGTTTTCGGACCAGGAGCACCGCGCTTCGACCGTGAAGGGAGTATATTATGAATTCGCGTTTATGAACGCTCAAGAAGGCGGCCATGCAACCTTACAACGCCGCCGGGTTGTCCTGCCGTCATGACTTTGGCAACTGGGCTTGCGCGAATACATGTCGTATTACGATCTTATCACCGCAGAAGCCAGCACTCCGTGGATGGCTGAACATTTCCGCCCCGCTATACTGATTGCCCGCACCATCTGGGCGGCTCATCAGGAAGGCCGCTTGGCGGGTTTATTCACATGTGATGCACTCGGAAGTGCAGATCAAGCCAAGCACTCGATATGTGCAGTAGGTAAGATCGTGCATCTTGCTTTGGAGAGGCGAGCCAGCTTAGTAGGAGAATCGTAGACTTAGACGATCACGGCTCCAAAACGACGCTGATCAAACAAACACAAACATATACCGGACCTTAGCAGCTCGTCATTCGAAATACAGTCCGTATACCTGCAACAGAGAAGGTGAAGGCTCTTCGTTTTGGAGCTCCCGAATTTTTGGGCGAAAAATTGGAAGGGGAACCAAGAAGATTGAAATGAAAGCGCTATCTTCAACGGGCAGTAGGAGAATCCGTCTCATGCTGGGCTGCCTCGTTCGAAGCTGTGCAGAGGGTGATTCAGGTCATTGATCAGAACACGGGTAGCTAGAAGCATAAATGCCATGTGGCGCAACTCTTCGAGTAAGCTGTGAGGAATCAAAGCGGCCGTAATCGATTTGAGACCCTGGCTTACTAAGGACTATTTCAAGGATTCCTTGCTGCATATCCAAGACGGCCGGAAACATGTTGTCGAGGCTTGTATCGTCGAATGTTTGCGATGCACAAGAAACATCTCAGAATGTTTCACATGTGGCAGGATAAAGTGGAACGGCCTACCTGAGCCACGCAGAAGATAGCTTCAGTCTCGAAGCTCTCCGACGCGCAATTGTCTGTCGATGTGTCCCACATGCACCGGCTCGCTAGCCGGATGCCCTGCCCTTTCTTCTCCCCTATCGTTACTTGTACTAACAGCTTGTAGCGGGCGTAACCAAGCTCCTTAACCCGATCTTTGACCTGGTCAGACAGCTCCTTGGCAGTCTGTGGAAAATATGCACGACTAACAAAGAGTCAATGGATTGGCTCGTCATGGACAATTCTTCTAGTCTTGTCACGGTACTTGAAAGGAGCCAGTTATTTTCTTTTCGCTTAGAAGAAACGCGTCAAAGCTTAGACACTCACTTTCTGTAGAACATGCATTAAGACTATCTTCAGTGTGGGCTGAAGAAGGCTCTCACTTTACACGCGCCCAGGTGTAAAGTGGGAGTTGGACTCAGGCCTTCAAGCGACAGATGGCATTTGCAGAACAGATGCATCTGGTTGCAACTAACCAACTCGCAGTCATGAAGAATGGGGTCATGTCCAAAAAGTAGAGAACCCATGTTTGGGGATTGATGGCATTGACAAGACGATAGAATGTGCTAGATCAGAAAGAAAAGCCCTGGAACGCCTACATAGATCTCAACGGTTTGGTGGTGCGCCTGATTGAAGCCGTCTTACGAATCTTCCTTTACTCGAAGATGCGCAGACTCTCTATGTTTGCATGGAGGGAAATTGCGTCCAGCTATAACGCAAGTTGCTTTTAGCAGCTTTATGCAGGCTTCACACCACCCTGCACTTTCTGCCATATGTCAACCTCGTCTCATTCCTTTCATGCTTTTGTTCTTTCTTTCTGAGATTTGCAAAGTTGCCACAGTGCAATGAATCAAGGAGGCCGCGGGAAAGAAAAGCTTGCCTGAGCTGCCTTCAATGGGTCATATTCGAGCTGCGCAAGCATGCTCTGCAGAACCTCTTTTATTACGCTCCGGACCTTGGAAGACTGGAAGACTTGGTCCTGCAGAGAGGCGGACAAAGCTCACGGAACTGGCTGTCTCCATCAAGAGAGGGTTTGAATTGGCAGGTAGCCATCACAAGTGGTCAAGAGTGCATTCATTTCTTGGATTGCATGTCTGTTTATAACCTGAACCATCATCTCGCACAATAGCACGTTTCTTATTGGAGTCCATCGCAGATTTTGCTACGTCTTACCTTTCCATATCCTTCCGGGCTTGTGATGTATGTATTCTCATATACCAACTCCTTTGGCGGTCCTAGGTCACCCATCGCCCTCTTCCTCTTACATCAGCTATGGTTCTGCGTCTTCCTGTTACTTTGCTGTTGCAAGGCTTTAAACTCGCAAACGGGCTTTCCAACGAGCTCAACCACTGGGGATAGCTGCAAGACTTAATTACCCAGCAAAAGTGTCCTCCAACAGGATCAACTGCAGCTCAAGCTAGATGCCTACAACTGTTGCAACTCTGTAGTTTTGGCTGTAAATCAAGCAGGTTGAGTAAAGCAGCACCAAAAAGGGCCGATGTGATCCCTTTCTACTTCAAGCAATGGAGATACGCCCGGAGGTGATTTGCTCCTCCCAGCTAGAGGCCTTCCAGCAGGCCACTGTTGACACCAGGAGCAGATAAAGAGATGCTCAAGACCTGTTCTACCAGCTACGCGCTATCCTAGCTCCCCTTCCGATATAATGGTATTCATACCTTACCTGTTGCTTTCTTCTGAATTTGCAGGGCCAGGGCAGGGCAACCAGACAGTTTTCTCCATCATGTCCCCTCTGTCGAAGTCGCGCTAAGACTACCTAGTAAGTGTTTTGGGTGCGCGCGCTCCTCAAGAAGTCGCCCATTCCGGCCGTCGGATGGACAGGTGCCAGTATTGGACGGCTGACAAAGCTTGGCCAAGAAAAGCCGGCCCCTGACGTCACTTCGCAATGGTCATGCCACGCTGGCATCATACGCGAGCCTGCGCGCACCAAAAGCTGCCAGCTGGCCATGGTGTCCTGCCTTCGGAGCGTGGTACCTGTGTCTTGCAATCCATCAAATGCATTGCATTTGTCTTCAGACACTGACGTAGGAAGTGCAGGCGAGAGGGAGAATGCTTGGCGATTTCAGGTCATAAGGTGGCGTTTGAACTTGTACGCGGTTGCATTGGATGGTTGCGACAATGCAGCGTTAAGTTGGTACGTGGCGGCATTGCGGAAAAGCATGCTGAGACTGGAATGCATTGTAGGTCTTCTGCTTTGATCATAAGAGAGCTCTTCGCTTGTTGACTCCTTTCAGATGGCTGCCACGAGCGTTAGGTTACTGACACGAAATCTAGAAGGTCTTGCGACTGATCGCGCAGGTTGGAGACAGGGCGATGCGAGCAACAGGAAATGCTGTAGACAAGCCTGTCAACAAGCCCTAACAACTCAAGTGGTTGGGAAAGCTGGGTCGCGCAATCTGCTTTGTCGAGACAAAGGGGATCTTCATAGAAAGGGCTGGCTTCAGGGGGAGCATGTGTTTGGATCCGAAGTAGAGCAGCCCGAAAGGCAAAGGCGACTAGCTCTTTCAAGCAGAAGCGCAAGTGAGGACTGGTTCGTCATATAGGCCTGATTGCATTCAGTGCACCCATTCTTCCTTGGCTCACTTTCCGAACCCACTATCTGGGCTATTGTTGACTGGCTCCGGCTTCTTTCAGATTTCAAGAAGAGCATTTTTATTCAGTTCTGATACTGTCAGACAATCGCAAAAAGACCATACGTTACAAATCTGCAAATCGTGCTCATGAATAGTTGGAGCACCTTTGATGGAAGCGTCGCCCTTGGGCATGATGAAGAACACATTCTTTGCAGACACAAGTTTAAGGTGCAGGTCACCGGGATTCTGACAGGCTTTTAAGTCCCCTACTGCCGCTAAGCTTGGAATGTAGCTTTATGAAGTACAACATGTATCAGTTGGCCGTTATCTGTTGAATCCAACCACTGATGTCCATGGCCGGCCATTCTTGAGCAGATCAAATCTAAGCGTACGATAAAAGATTGGCAAAACAGCATTCACCATGTTTCGCATTAGCCCCGTCCTTTGTCTTGTCTAGGGTTGGCTAACCGATAAGTCATCTCAATCTGCATCAGTTTAGGTCACTCAGCTACAGCTCAGAAAGGAGGCTTGTGCTCAAACATCCTAGTACTGCAATCGATCTTACTGTGGCAAATCGTACATGGATCAATGCAGTGCGCCCACCACTTGCTTCTTCATAACAGCGACTGCGGTAGATCCTAGCCAACCTTCATGGCCGTTCCGATCTGGACTCCTTGCAAAAATCTGTTGTTCCACATGTGCGAAGTCTGCAGAAGCGCCCCCAAGATTGCCAAAAACCTCACGGACGACTTTTTCATGTACTATTCTGCAGGAAAGGTGGGTTGCCGAGCTTCAGCCGGCGTCGCACCTGGGGAGAAGAAAAGGATTGTGGTCACAGGCCTCGGGGTGGTATCCTGCTATGGCACTGATGTCAACCACTTCTATGATCAGCTGCTGGCGGGCAAGAGTGGGATCACGCACCTTGAGAACTTTGATGCTGCAGCATACCCCACGGTGCGTCTCCAGTTACTTGGGGGGTTTGATGGGTCAGCAAGTCATTTTTGGCTGGTGTGTCTCGGTGCAACTGACAAGCAGAAACTGCAAGGAGATTGTCTCTATTTTGACATCATGGTGGTGCCACGATGCTGTCCTCAAGTGCCGCTGTACTTCTTCCTTCATCATGCAACCTTTTCAACGATGATCAAGTTGGCAACTTGGGTTGGGTATACATGTCGGAAATGCCAAAGGCTTTGCTCAATCAGTGGTGGTAGCTCCTGTCTGAATTGATACAGTTTCTCAGGCTTTCTCAGGGTTTAAGAAAGGGGTTAGTGTGCGTGACCACAAGCTGTCCACAAACGACAGAAGAAAGAAAGAGAGAAGAAAGACAAAAAGAATATTGGTTTAAGCTGACCTATAATAACTTTGGAGGGATTCATCATGTGACCAGAGTATGAAGATACTGGCAGTGGAAACACATGCTGAGACCGCGGACTTTAGCAATTCTCCTTTCGAGGAAAGCCAGCCTGGACGGAGATTTTCGTTGCTCAGACTGCAGCTGCTCTGTATCTCAAACATTGTCTCGTCTGCTGGTTCAGAAAATCGGTGGAGAAATCAAACGGGATGACTTTGAGACTGGCGACTACATCAATCCCAAGATGGCCCGGCGGATGGACAACTACATCCGGTATCTGATGGTGGCGGGGAAGAAGTCGCTGGAGGATGCGGGGCTTAGCACGGAGGTCATGGAGTCATTGGACAAGGCCCGGTGCGGGATCCTCATTGGATCCGCCATGGGGGGGATGCAGGTGAGATGCAAAATCGAAACCCCCCCCCTGCTCCTGATGCTCTGCTCTTTGAATGCTTTCTGGACTCTGCCTCCTTCCCACAAACACTTTCTCGTTCCTTTTAGAGACCGCTCGTGGTGGCCTCTGACGGGGCTACAAAATGAGTATGTTAAGGGTTGCGGGGTGGTTGTGAGACTCCTGCAATTTGAAGCGCACCAGTTTGACAGTGGTTATGTCTCAAACAGAGAACTCCATACAAAGCCTGTGGTCCCAAGCTGTGTGCTCATGTGACACACCTTTGCTGCTGCTTGGTTTCATGAACTGTGGCTGCTGTGTGACTCCTCAATATCGAAGAGTCCTGCTGCCCCAGTGCTCAGAGGAACGTACATTCGTGGTACTCCAGAGTATTTTCGCGAATTGTGCAGAGCGTTTGCTTATCCCCCTGAGATGGTGAGCATTGATCGAAATATATCAGAGGTATTTTGGTGATCATCGCACCATGTGCTGCAGATCTTCACGGATGCCATCGAGGCGCTCAACACCAACTTCAAGCGGATGAACCCGTTCTGCATCCCGTTCGTGTGTTCGAACATGGGAAGCGCCATGCTGGCAATGGACCTGGTAAGGTTTTGCAAGCACCGTTTCAATATGAGATACTGGAGACTTTCCTCGATCGAAAGGCAAACGGATTCGCAGCCTGTGTCAAGGCTAATCTAAGCATGTCAGGCAGCAATTGGGATGGGGACGTTCGAGGTTGTCTTGGCGTCAAAACTTCTGTACGCCGCACTCACGTGATCTGCTATAACGTCTTACAGTGGTCATCCTCCAAAGAGCATTGCTTTCGAAGATTGAGATGTCTTGGTGAAGGAATACGCCTGCGTTGATAGCCTACGCAGACAGAACATCGATTCATGCCTGGTTCGAGCTTTTTATTTTGGAGAATTTTTGTCATCCAGAAGCCAGTAAGTTGATCTTCGTCGAGATCGGTTTTGGGGGCCGTGAGAAAAAATTCTCACCAGTGCCAACTCACGCGTTCTGCATGATGCAGGGCTTCATGGGCCCAAATTACTCGATCGCGACGGCCTGCGCTACAGGAAACTATTGCATCCTCAGTGCGGCAAACCACATCTGGAACGGAGAGGCGGTAAGTGGACCTTCTTTCCTCACAAAGGCAGGGCTGCTAAGAAGCTGGCTATTGCATGGAAAGTTACAGATACAGGGGTTTGAAACGTACTTGAGGTGGATGCTCTCAACGGGTCCTCTCGGTCTTCTTGCAGCCTTGACCAAAAGGCTCTCTCTCTTTTAACCGAGAGAACCGAAGGCCTTCAAGGGTGGGTTCATTTTTGGGGGCGGCATGCTAATCGATGCGAGAAAGTCCGAGGCATCAGAATATTCAATTGGAATTTGTTCCAATAGTATTTTTGTCAGAAACGAACTCTGTTTCGAAGCTGTACAATCTGCGTGTTCTGTCACATTTGACACCAAAAAACACGATGAAATCTGTGACTGGGCTGTGAATTGCTAGAAGTGCTTAAGGCACGAAGTACATATGACATTCCCGAAGCATCGAGCTGGCGAGAAAGGCTCAGTGGATTGCACCGTTGTTTGCCGTTCTCAATCTCGCTCCTTAATCTTACTTCCAGGACCTGATGCTCTGCGGGGGATCAGATGCGGCCATCCTTCCTATCGGTAAGGCCACGGCCAGCTCTTCTCTTATTCAAGGTCCTGTTATAGTCCAGCGTGATTTGCATTTATAGGAGACGTTGGCCTTCAATCTGGCCATGTGCCGAAGGGACGTGCAAGGGAGGTGTTTGGTCGTTGCTCGGGTATTCTCGTTCAGATCAGAGACCCAACCATTTCCAGGCGTTATTCTTCTTTTCGCTTTCCAATCTTGACAATGGTAGGATCTTCTGATTCGTGTGTCTTATCCTGTAAGGCAGAGGTTTGCACATTGGTAGTCAACAAATGCAACGGAATTGCAGAAAAGCAAAATACTGCTGTTTTACAGGGTTGGGTGGCTTCGTGGCTTGTAAAGCTCTGTCAAAGAGGAATGACGCGCCGGAGAAGGCCTCTCGGCCGTGGGACACGGTAAGCAGGCTCAACTGACCTTTTTGACAAGTGGCTTGGCAAGGGCATCACGCTGTTCTTTACAAAATCTGCACGTCACCGATTTCGGTCATACATTAACCCATTGACGAAATAGGATGTCTGACAAAGGTGCTGACAGAATTCAAGCACTCGCACTTTCTCGACTCACAGAGGCATCGTCTGCCACATGATGGGAACACTGAGCAAGGTCCGCAATCAGGCTCCTAAACGACGAATGTCGCAGCTTCCTGATAATGGTTCGACGTCTTCTTAAGTGTTCTGCTTCGAACGTTTTAGAGCGAGTCGTGAAGTGCTGAGAAAAGCGGAGAAAGTGACGAAGGCGTCAACAAGCCTGGATTCGCTTGTGCAGGATCGGGACGGTTTTGTAATGGGGGAGGGCGCAGGCGTGTTGATACTTGAGGAGTTGGAGCATGCAAAGGTAAGATCTTCCGCATAACCAGGAGAATGCAAGTATCGAACTTTTCCTCGTCTATCAGTTTGCAACGTTGTACAGCGAAGCCTACACAAAGGATTGCAAACGCTTCCCGCCCAAAAATACGGTTGGAGGAAACACAAACTGTTCCTGCGAACCCAGATTGTCGCGTTTGGAATGGTGTCGTGAAAAGGCTTCTCTCGTCGTGTGTGTAGCGAAGAGGGGCGAAAATCTACTGCGAGTTTTTGGGGGGCAGCTTTACATCTGACGCACACCACATGACAGACCCCCACCCCGAAGGTGAGGTGTTCCGACCTCTCTAGAAATGTCCTTTTGCCGGAAAGTTCTTGCTCTTCAGTCAGTTGCTTACTTATCGTTCACGTTTCTTTCTTCGTCCAAGTGCTTCGGGGTGCCCGAGTTCAAGACTCCGGACCGCCGTTTTACGACCAGTCGTGGCGACCGAGAAGCCCGTGCCCCTTCTTTGTGGTCGCCGATCGGCTCCGATAGTGAGTGCTTTCAGCAGAGTCATCGTCGAAGACGCGTCTTTCAAAAGCCACTGGTAACAATCAAACCTGACGCCCTCTTTGGCCACGTGTCTTACGTCGAATCACTTCTTGCATTGCTTCGTAACAGGCGCGGGTGTCGAGATGTGTTTGCAAAGGGCGTTGGAGAGCAGCGGGGTGGCGGCAGAGGACGTCAACTACGTCAATGCACATGCGACGTCGACCCTGGCGGGGGACCTCCAAGAGTACAAGGCCCTGCACAGGGCCTTTGGAAGCAACGCTGACGTGAGCATGACTCCTTTGCGTATCCCGTTTGGAAGATGCGGTGGGGGGGCGCTGCAGTGCCTGCGCTCTTAGGACACCTGTGTGTCCGACGAAATGTTCAGCGTGCCCCCAGTTTTGGATCTGTTTTGGCTCTTTTCAGGGAGCGGGCAGCGAGGCACTTCGTGGTCAGACAGTCGCGGAAGCGAAGCGTAAGAGCAGGCCTCAGTGTTGGGCTGCCATTGGCATGCTTTCACGAAGATCGTTCATTTCGCTGAATTCGTTTTGCTGAAGTTTGGTCACCTGGATTTTAAAGGTCGACACGACTTCAAGCCTCCATTTTCAACTTTCCCTGCGTTTTCGGATGACTCGCTTCGCGCCTCGTCCTTAGTCATCGTTACCGCCACCTTGTGCTGTCTGACCTGTGAGCTGATCTTTCAACAGCGACGTAGCTGTTCTGGAGGCAGGCACTTTGCTGTCAAGCAAAGGATGGGAAGAGGAAATCACCGCACAATTGCAACCGGAAAAAGGCATTCCGACCGCGTTTTTGAACTCCAGCATCAGCCAATCACTTTCCTAAGCATTGTCTGGAGCAATCCCTTTCCGTGACCTTGTTGCAGCTGAAGATGAACTCCACCAAGTCTCTCATCGGTCACTTGCTGGGGGCGGCGGGGGCGGTCGAGGCCGTTGCAACCGTTAAGTTAAGCAAGACTAACCACGCCGTCTCTCTGCCTAATATCTGCCTAGCATGCCAGCCAGTTGCGGATTCTTTTATCTGCCAAGAGTGCGAAATGTCTTTGATTTTCAATCAACATGGACACTTATGCCGCTCGGTTCACGTCTCATGGTTCGCTAGACATTTAGGAGCAAATATCTGGCCTCTTTTTTGTACTTTGCTCCGAGTCTCGTTGCTGACGACAATACGCCTTCTCTCACTTAAGTGTTGCATCAACAGGATACGAAGAGAATGTGTTTGCTATTGACATGATTCTTGAGATAATTTTGTTCCCACTGTAGCCTGTCCGTCTGTCTGTGCAGGCGCTCGAGACAGGCTGGGTACATCCAAATCTGAATCTAGAAAACCCGGAACCCCTCGTGGTGAGTATTACACGCACTACCTAGCCGTAGCAATCTCGATGTAAGAAAGTGCATAAGGTTGCATGTGCTTGGTATGCGGCTTGGTGCTGTTAGCAGTTACTGGACGTAGACATTGGACGAAAATTTCATAGATGCGAAAATCCCCATCATTGTGACGGGATTGCTGGCTGTGTTTCCTTCAGTCCAATCATCCACTGCAGCTTTGGCTTGTGGGGGTTGGCATGGTTTTTGGAGCTAAGTGTCAGTACGCAGCCAAAGCATTATTCCAGCACATCCTCGAGGACCCCTTTTGGAGGCTGATTCGTCTTCCGACCGCGTGCAGGACAACAACGTTTTGGTCGGTGGTCAAAAAGAAAAGCTTGACATCAAGGTTGCTCTGTCCAATTCATTTGGCTTTGGAGGCCACAACTCCAGCATACTCTTTGGTCCCTACAAGGCTTGATCAACAAGGAGGAGACACTGACAGTAGAGAACCTTGGGCATGGGCAGCAAGCTGCTTCGCTTGAACATGGTGCTCGTGCCCTCAGAAGATCCTTAGTTTTTTGGGTTGTAAGGAGCTCATTTTGCTCCATTCGTGTTGCCATTGGACACGAGTACTAAGGTACTTGCTATAACTCGAGCTCGTCTATCCTTAGAGGTTCTGCAATGCAACTACGTATTCGTGCGCGGTCAACTCCCGGCCTCATTTCCAGTGCATAAGATAGACAAGTTGACTTCCTCAGCGTGTTCGGTCGATCAGGCCCGGACGTGTTGAGCCTGCGAAAAGGACACAAATATCTGACAGTTTTGAGGCTTTGCCGTCTGCCAAGCTTTGCAAGCCTCCGTGATTTTCACAGATAACCCTGCTGAAGCATGGCTGGTAAGCAGGCACAAAGACGATTCAAGGTGGCCGCGCCTTGCCTTTTCATCTGGTGGAACGGTATAGGCAATAGTAGGACACATCGTCCCATGCAAACGGAACCTGTAGCCTCTGGCTGTGATTCGACAACCGGAAATTGTGATAGAACTCCAGTAACCAGCCTTTATTGTATCCCACGATAATCCCACATGCATGCTCGCGTGCTATTATATAAAAGGTGCAAAATGTTGCCAATTTGAGTTAAGTTGCATAGCCAGCTTGGCGTATGCACGCAATTCAGCTGTGGCCTGTGCATACTAACCAGCGCGACGGTATGCAGCGCTCGCGGCCCATGCATGGATTTGCTTGCACACGTTTCAGCTAACAACCCATAGTTGCCCCATGGTGCGCGCTGCATGTGGCATACATGAGCTGCGGGCAACAAGCCGCTGCAACCGTTAAGCATCTTGGCCTACCGGGTGTGCGTGCGGCCATAGGCCCACGTTTGCAAGGCAGTCACGGTCCACGGATACACGTTTTCTTTCAAACTGTCATGATTGCACATCATAACATCAGCAAAAAGCCATGAAGCAATGCATTATGATTAGCATCTCTCAAGGGTCCGCAAGCCGTGAGATCCTATGGTGATGCGAGTTGCATTGTGCTAAAGAGTAAGCGCAAAGCAGCTTTGCAGACCCTCAGCTGTTTAGACGTCGTGTCGCCTGATTGAGTCTGGCCGCTTTCTTAGCATGGGCCATCTGCAGAGTCCAAGCCATCCACTGCATGCATCTGGTTGATCGCACGGCTTCGGTTACGGTAATTCGGGCTGCATCTCTGCAGATCCGTGCCCTCGTGCCCGCGGACTAGCATAACAGGTTGGCAACATCCTGAAAGTTAACCTTATACAGGGGACGTCCTGCGCTGCGGTGTCAAGATCAAGTCATAACAGATCGCCCTGGACCGCCCGTGTGCATCGACGTTGAAAACTGCAAGAAGCGAAAAGAATCTTACTTCCAGAAGGACCCTGTTCCGTTGATTCGAGGAAATAATCCTACAACCTGGGTCCAAAACGTTTGCATTTTTGGCCAGATGGCCTATACGCTGCTCCATCTGACGGTCTTCTGATTGCAAGAGATCCTTCGAGCGGGAGCATGGATCTTCAACGGCAATTTGAAGAACGCATCAGCGAAAGCTTTGACCTCTCAGCATCTTTTGAGGCAAGTTCCGAGACGGATCGGGCATCATAGAAAAATCAAATGGTTCCTGTCAATGCCAGACGCTTCATTCGCTTCTAGGGAGAAACTGCTCATAGAACAAACACTTCAGCTATGCAATGCATTGAAGCTAGAAGTGGTTTACCTAGGCTCTCTTTGACCAGGAAAGTCCAACAATTTGCTCTGTCTCTGAATCTGCAGACAGAAGGATTCGTAATGCTCTGTGCTTGTGTGCAGGAGATTGAGAGCTCTGCAATCTTTGATGGAGCCCAAGACGACGATGCAGACGTCAAGCAAGACCCTTTCTCAAAACTCAGACCTTTTCTCCGAGAAGAGGTATGGCAATCGTTGCTGACACTGGAAAGGCGTCAAGCGATGGCGACTTGCAGAACTCTCAGAACAATGCTTGTCTTAATCTTGATCTAAGCTACCCTTCATTTCGAATGTATTCACCGACATCAAGACGAGTGTCTGCTCCTCAGCCTTTGAATATGATTGAAGGCTTCCTTGAAGAGGTTGGTTCCATTAAAAAGAATGAAGTCCCCAGATGCTGCTCACGCCTAGGACGAAGGAACAAGGTTCCCTGCAACGTTGTGAAACGCCTGTTACTTTGCAGACTCGCGACCAAGCTTTCAACTTCAGCTCGAGGGCCTTCATCCAGGTAGGGCGTGCGTCTGCCTCCCTGTGGCCACTGATAGTCAAAGTTGAAGATCAAGCTGCGGTCTCCGTTGAGGCTCCCGCAAGAGCTTTTTTTGATGCCGAGAGCTATCTATTCGCTTTAGCGTGGAAGAGTAGATCCAGAGAATAACAGCTATTCAGTCACCTGACCCAATCCATTGATTGACGGTGTCGTGGCTCTTCGAATTGAGGCAGGTTCTGTCGTCATGCTATACAATTTGTCCAAATCGCAACGAAGCACATGCAGCAAATCAAACCTATATTGCTCTTCAGGTTGCCTATTATGCCGTCAAGCGAGCAGCAAGCGAAGGCCGGTGGCCAGAAAAAATGGAGGCGGGACTCATGAAGGCACTGATAAGACGGGGAAAGAAGGCACTGGGTGAAGGATGCAATGTGAAACAGCCCGGGAGACGAATGGTTTGTCAGGAAGGTTCGTCATTCTTCATCCTCCTTTTGTATCCTTGAGCCAGCAGTCGAGCTGTTCATCCCGTATCTGATTGGTAGTGAGTCTTGGAATCTTTCTTGGTGCAGAAAGTAATCAGATACTCTGTCTCTACAGAACTACGCGTCTGCATCTTCTTCATCTGCCATCTCGTGAAGATTACGGACGCCAGCCTAGCCTCCGGGAAGGAGGACAAGGACACCAGTGGTAGACGAGATTGGCTCGGTGAGTTCGTTGCGCCTTTCAAAAGATGGACAGCCCTTGATATATCCTGGACTATTGATGTAAGTTCTCACTGACTGCAAGTCGTCAATGCATTCTTGAGTCAAACTAAGTGGATCTGTACAAAGAAGCCTTCATTCAGCCCACGATACTCTGTGGAGAACTCTACATTCAATCCAACGCAGATACGAAAGCTTCGGCGGTGAGTTTTCTTAGCAGCGTCAGCGCCTCACTGACGAAAGTGTTCAGCAAGGGTCGTGACATTGAAGAAGCTGCGGAGCTTGTGGAAAGAAGCGCGCTAGACATCGTCATTGGTCAGAACTGGGTGAGGGATCCGACTAGGAGTGCATCAGGAGTGTCTGTTGATGCGTAGAGGAAACGGATGAGGGATAAAAGGCTTTTTTCATCATGCGCAAATCTGCCATATCAACATTATTCAATTCCCACTTTTTCCTAACTGCTTCGGAAGCTTGGGTGCTCTTATGAAGCTTACTCACACCAGCAATCCAACTTGTGTCTGTAGCAGGCGAGGACTGCGCAAGCCAAGTTGACCTTGCAAACGCTGCGGCAGTCAATTGTGCAAATCCTTGCTCAACCATTCCTTCACGCTGTGAAACGGCCCAAACACGCTTTGGATCTCTTCGACGCTTTAGCTTCTCTCTGGGTTGAAAAGCAACAGCTGATTGAAGCTATGGTAAGCCTCAAGCGTCCATCATTCTTCTAGGTTTTAGCCGCAATGCTTTATAAGAGTGATAATGCATCTCTTCAACCAATTTGAAAGTCCGACAGGAGCCCTTGGCATTTTCGAAACCACTTTTGGTGTTAAAAAATTCTGCTCGCTCATCATTCAGGCACTCCAGTTTCGAATTATTTCACACTCACTCATCATTCAGGCCGAGGTGCTACACGTCGTAGTGGACTCGGAACCAAAGTGTGGTGTCTCACTCCTGGTAAGTGGACAACGTTTCAGCTCGAGATTACAGCAGATGTAGTGTGCTACCATGTTTGCGACGACTGGTGGAAACCATTGAGGCTGCTACCTAGTACGCTGGGCCTGAGAATTGCAGAAGGCTTTCTACTTAAACCTTCTCTGTTATTTTCGTATGCAGTCCCGTGTCGTGGACGTCGTAATTTGTAAAACGAACGCGGCAAAAACAGACAAAATGGCACTTCTTCAAGATCATATAGGTAAGATTATCTTGATGTCGCCCCGATAGATGGGGGACACGTCAAATCTATCATTGAATTGATTGAAATCTTCTTGCACAGCTCAAGGCACGGGCTCGTACTCCAAATGCGGGGCTAGTACTGCTTGGAGGACTTTTTGTGTACTGTTACTAGCCAGATACCGACACTGACTTTGACGAGCTGCCCTAAACCCTTTTCCGTCCAATTCTACGTCTGCAGAAGCAGGCATGGCAGTGCTCACCAAGTACGCTGACCGAGAGTCGGGCGCCCAAATCCTGGCTGCGTTTCTAGGTAAGCGTTTTGATGGCTAGTATGATTAAGCTTAGCGGACGTTTGTTGGGCTATTTTGTATTCAAGAATCTTGATGGCGGTAGAAGAGGCGCTATATGTATGTTGGATCTCCTCATATCCCTTACAACCGCTTGCGCACGTTCCATAATCTGTAATTTGCAATACACCCGCTTCGACTACGAGGCAGCTTCTGACTGCAGACCTTCGATTGCATGCAGGCTCGCTCTCGCCCGTCGTTTTTAATGAGCGCTCAGGAATCCGCAAGTCCTTCTTGGACATCGTCTGCTCTTGTCTAGCATGTAGCAGGTTGTCACGCGCTGACGGCAACGCTCTTCTGAAGATCAATTCGCTTTTCTTGACCGACAAGGACGCCAACGTCAGACTCCGCGTTCTCTCTTCAATCAGCAAGGGTCCGCAATGCCTTGGCTTGCTGACAGCTTCAGATTCATTTCCCATCGTAGAAGCTATAATCAAGCGCCTCCTTGATAAGAGCAAGATCGTCCGTTTGAAAGCCCTCCAAACAATGGAACGCATTCTGGGCTACCTTACAGATTCAAGACAGAAGCATTATGCAGCCGAAGAAGATGAAAGCTCTGGCACGGATCTCTTACGAACAAAGACGCAGATCCAGACCTCGCTCTTTCCTATGCTCGCAAGGATGCTCACCATCCCGCAAGATTCTCCATACTTTTGCAAAGAGTCTCTTCTCGGAGCAGCGCGACTCCTCTCGATGCCTTGCCAAATCGGGGTTATTCAGCCTTACCTCGAGTCTCTGATTGCAATGAATCACTCACCTGACAGCCAAGCCCTTACAATAGAGGTACTGCAAGCGCACCTGGACTCCTACCAGGCCTGGAGCTCCTTCTTATGCTCCTCAAGTGACAGGGCACTAGTAAAACTGGACAGTTTTCTGAAGGAAGCTTCTGCGTCCTCTTCATCAGGAGGTTACGACGGAAACAAGATCGAACATTCAGGTAAAAATCTTCGTGAGCCATATTAACACTGTGTTCTCGTCCCCAATTTGAATCTCGTAATTTTTCTGGAGACTGCCCCTCAGACTAAGGTCATCTCTATATTGATCAAGGAAGCTTCTATCCACGTTGAAAGCCCAACGTCAGCCAACTATGGACTTTTGCAGGCGCTCCGCAGCAAAGATTTCCAAGCGAGAAGCACCAGAAGCTCGTTCTACAGGCTTTCAACATCATTTCACAGTTGCAAAGCAGGGAGCTTACGAAAGCAGAGGTTTTGGGTGCGCTCAAGGTCATCGTATTCCTCATGGCTCCACAAACTCCTGTCAGCACCAGGATGGGAGACCAGTTGCATTCTCTGGTGCTGTCTGTACGGTGGTCAGCGCAACTGCACGGATCGGTCGAGGAAAATGAGAGCACGTTAGACGGAAACGACTGCCTCAAGTGGAGCCTGAAGGTAAGCCTACAGAAGTAACCTGAAGTGCAGCTCATTATTCCGTCTACAGTTAGATGTGCTCATGCTTGCTCTTAAGCTGCAGCTTTACCTACCGTTGATATATGAGCGTGTCCGTGCGAAGAAAGCATCATCTTTGCAAAGTAACGTGATCACATATGCATAACTAGATCCTGTAGATTCGAAATCTGGATATATCCCAACCTCTTGTGCAGACTTGTGCGACCGTGTCCAGAAAGCTGAATATCAAAACCTGGACCGAAGCAGAGGATTTGCTGCGGCTTCACTTCGTCTCCCTGTACCCCTCTCACAAAGAGGAGGTAATAGAGCTTCTCTACAGCATGGGAGATCCGCTCAGACTTTCTGAGGAGATTTTGAGGTGAGAACATGTGGTCGATACGACAGTCAGCACTTAAATTTTTCACGGCTCATCGAGATTCTCGAAGCACTACCTGACAGCTTGTATGATACAGATGCCTTAGTATTTCCAAGAGATGCTGACACCCGGTGCAGAAACGCAGCGATGGTTGACGGCACAGGTCTATTTCTGCGAGCTTCGGGAAGCTTTGTGTCTGCAGAGATCTCATAAACAATATCCCTGAGTTGCAGAGCATACGTAGAGGCTGGGGTGTTCACCAGTCCCCAGCATCTCGGGACTCTCGTCCACTTCGTTCAGTGGATTGGCGATATGTCTAGGAACTACAAGACTGCGGAGACGCTTTTCTTGAGCCAAATGAGAGACTCTCGGCACGTGAAGGAAAGAAGGACCTCCCGACTCGAAGATGGATTCGATTACATGGACGAAGAAGACGAGAAAGCAAATGAGGAAGGCGAGTCTCCTCTAAACCGACATATTTGGAGGTTTCCGTTCAAGAACCCACAGCGCACGTCTGGATCTCGTCTAACTTCCTTTGATGAGATAGTAGGAACCAGGTCTTCTTGTCAAAGAAAAATTTGACTCTGTCTCGTCAGCAGAAAAGGTTTCACACAGCTTGCGAGCAGATTGGTGACACTTGAGAGGGAGGAAAGTGCGATACATCGGTCCTTTCTCGTCGTGCAGATGCAGTGCAACACTTCGCGGCCTCTCTGCTCGCCGGGGACTCGGTCCCGGGCTGCTACGTCCCTGTTCTGGCCCACCTCGCTTCCAACCGCGAACTTCCTACCCTCCTGCGAACAGCAGCTGTGACAAGCCTCGGAAGCTTCTTGCTTCTCTCCCCCGACCTTGCAAAGCAGCACAAGCATTTGGTGCAGGATCTCTTGAGAGAAGGGGCTCCGGAGATGAAACTCGCAGCACTTGAAGTCGCTTCTAAGCTAGTTCTGCAAGCCCCAAACGAGTATACGCCGGTCTTCGAGACCATCCAGCAGCTGTTGCTAAACTCCGACGTCAAAGAGACGGCCTACTGCGTCTTCGCGGAACTCCTTCTACAGCAGGTCCGTTCAATTGCTTCCAGAAAAAAATTCTGCTCTCCTGCAGTTTTTCGGTAAGAAGTAAGTCGCACTTACTGTCTGGTTGCTTTGGTCTGAAGCTCACTTAACGAAGCAGCGATGAAACCCGTCTTGCATCTGGTCATTCTTTATATCTTGCTTTATCTTGCAATTCCGTCTCAAGATCGTCCTTTTTCCTGCAACAGAAGCTGAGAGCTCACGTGTATCTGGGGGCCATTACCGCTGGCTTGGTGGACAGCTCTGCCAGGATCCAAAGCCTCATGGTCTTTGTGCTTCAAAGGCTCCTTGAAGACTCGGGGCGTGCAAGGTGAGACGGGGTGTAGTGGGACTTGTGCTTAATTGTCAAGAAGAAGCGTGTCTACGTTCAAGAGAACTTGGGTCTGTGCACTGAAACCGTTTCTTCGCTTCCTAAAGTCCTCGAGTTTCGCGCCTTAAGTAGAATTCCGTCAACGTAATGTTGAACGAAACCAGATTAAACTGCAAACTTCGGCTTTTCGTTGTACCTTTTGACGTGACGTGACTCTTTGCACAAGCAGATTGTTGGCTTTTTCCCCTCAGGTACAAGATCGTGGTCGACGCATACAAGCAGAGCGCGCCGGAAGTCAGGACGGGCCTGCTGGAAACCTTGTTGGACGGCTTCCTGGACGAGAAGGATCTGAAAGCGGACGACTTGGCGAGCCACGTTCTGCAGCTGCTGGTGCTCGGAACTGAAGGGGCTGCAGAGTTTGCCGCGCACTTGAGCCCTTCCGCAAAGGTTCTGCAACAGTTGGACGCCCACGTCCAGGTCAGTGGCATCCGTCTTCGACATAATGACAAAGCTACAGCAACAAAAGGAAAACAACTTTGCTCGCCTTTCCGGCAAACCTTACTTCCATCTTACGCTACCGAAGAGATTGTTGCAGCCATATTTCAGACTTTTGCGCTGTTCGCCAACGAAACAGCGCCGGTTAGCCTTCATTCGTAAAATCTTGTTTCGTTTGTTTTGATCAAGTCAGGCAGCTGGTGGACGTATCGATGTTACAGCACATGCTTCAGGACCTGTCCTCGGGTTTCGCCTCTTTCTGACCCTCTTTGCACACCACGCTGCCGCAGGCCTGCCCTCCTCGGATCTCTCTCTCGAACGACCCGGAATCCGTCGAAGCCCTCTGCAAGTTTGTCGCAAACCACCGGAAGCATTCTTCCGCAACGACCGCAAGCAAGGATCTTGTGAACAGGCTGCTCGACCACTTCCAGAAAAAGACTCGGAGGCGCAAACGACGTGCGGAGATTAGCACTGCGCCAGAAAGCTCGTCTTTGGGAGCTATTGAAGAGTACGCTAGAGCGGTCGACGCTTTCAACGAGAAGGCCGATGCGAGCAGCATATATGAGATTATTGGTGATGGATAGCCTGTACGTGAGTCCGATGGTGGCCTGGCGATGTCTGGCGCTAAGTGCTTTGGTAAACCAGAGAAACAGAGTGTTCACAAGGAAGCCTCTCATGCAAAGAAAGGGACAAATTTGATCTGGTCGGGGGACGCGCACGCGCTTCAAGGGGTACAGTTGCCGTCCTTGTAAAAGTATGTCTCAGGGCGCAATCGGTTCTTCGCGGATCGCTCGGCGAATCAAGGCGTCAGAAAGGCGGTTCGCTTTCCCGGGCCCTGGAGGCCCCGATTGAGGATTAATATACCGTAAGAGAATGTTGAAAACGTACTGCCACCGGATGTAATTGATGGATCGGAGATGGATTACTGTAGGAGAAAAAGCTTGGCCGACTGAGCATCCAACTAAGCATGCTGGAGTACACCCACAAATATATCATGCAGTGGCATACATGCATGCTGCCTTGTCTGGCCGGACTCAATCGCATCGCCCTTTTTGCGGCGTGCCAACATGCATGATCAAGTCACGCGTCGGAGGGGCTTAATTTAGCCGCGGATGCCTTGTAAACGCCTTAATGCCATGATGCGCCTTGTGAACGTACTAGCCGGGCCCGTGTGACCTCCGACATAGCTGCACTCACACGCATCACTCACCATGATGCAGCCGCGCTAAGTAGGCTAGTATGGCAGGATACCTAGCCATACTCAGCGGTGCATACATAACCATTGAATCGCAAGACTCGGCAGGAATGCATCAGATGCATATTAAGGATATCAATTTAAGGAATAGCCTAGGTGCTCCGGTTAAGAGAACAACTGCGTACCCATAGATGCAGCTGCGCGCAACCACTGTAGCGGGCCTCAATAACCCATTCCCCAGGCTCCATCAAGGATTGACGCATGTTCCGCAACGAAAGGCTGTGGAGCTGTTCGATTCAAGAACACTCCGACTTTTTGCGTCTTTAAAGCACGGTACCACGTGTGTTCGAACAAGCACCTCGCTTCCAGATCATGATTACCACAGGCTCGCTATAGAAGTTTGAGATGACCCGTTACGTCGTCAACTAGTTTCGCCGGACCTGCAAAGAATTGAAATGAGAGTAAGGGTATGGCAGCAAACAGGACGAAATCCTGCTTCAAAGTTCCCCGCATTGAGGTAGTGTGAACGAGGAAGGCGCGAGGATAAGGATCAAGAGCGAGCAATCGAGTATGGTGACATCCGAGCCTCTTATACGGCGAATCCAAAGTATGCTCACCTACGATCGCCATGACAGTCCGAGAGTCTGCAAATCGACAGGGGCGTCAGTAGATACCGGGATAGACGGATAAAAGTCTTTCTAAGCGTTCCAATCCGATATTGCGAGGAGATCAAACTAGATTGCTGAAGTGCTAAGGCACCCATGTAGTGATATCTGACGGTTCGTAGTACTACAGCATTGCTGCTCAATCGCCTTCTGTTTCGTGATTCCAATCTGCTTGGACGACCTCTTCCTTACGAGCAAAAGTGGACGACCAGCGCCGAGTCAACCGTGCGGTGCCGGTCATCGCGGACTACCGTAAGCAACCTTTGCGTGCTCAACTGTCATCATCAGACTCACGTAGATGCAGATTTCTCCGCAATAAGACATTTGTCACTTACTTGGAGCAATCTGCGTGCGTCCCGCATCTATGGTGATATGGGTCGGCAAACCGACCGCCCTAGCTTGACTCTGCAAGAACGGAAGTCGAATGAGACAAAGTCGGGCAAGCCACAGAGCCTCCTGCTCGTGCCCATCTTGATTTTGCTGCTTCGTTTCTCCACTTAACTGCCTCATTGACTTTATCTACGCGTCGGATTAATACGCCTATGCCAAGCCTGCCGCAGATTTCTTCTTGATTCGAACGGGTCATTTTTTGTCTATCGGTAAGCAAGATGGTTTGTAATCAGTGCTGACGTTTCCCGTCAAGTTGTTTTTGACCCTCAGCGGAATCATGCCCCGGCGAATCTGCACGCTTCCGTCTCCTTTATGCCAACGAACCACCTCAAGATTTAAGCCTCAACTCTGCGTAACATGCAACACGATGACATCCTGACAAATTGCGGTCCTGATGTAACGGCGCTCCGAACCACGTAATCTGCGGAAGTATCCGCCGTTGACTCGTAGCATTCTGATTCCAAAGCATGCTTACCTGCAAAGCGAGAATGTCGGCTTCCGTCTCGGCCTTGACAACGACCTTCACTTGGGCGCAGTACTCCCATCTGCGAGCGAACCAAGACGGACGCGTTCATCAAAGTTGTGGCGACTGCAATGTCCGTAATGCAACACCTTTGGTCGCCTGTCAATTTCAAAGCAGGCCTTACGACGTCTCAAATTCTACTCACATGATCAAAACTTTGAGACATTAATCTCGTCTCCAGATTTGAGGGCGACCGCATACAGTACGAAAAAGACCTGCAAATTGCTGGTGACATCAACCCTCGCAGGCGAACAGCCCCGAAACCAGTCATCCTCACCTCCGAAGTATTGAGGGCCCTCGTCTCAGAAGGTGCTTATATACCCCCAATGTTGCGTGGCTGCACAACAAACGCCGTTTTCAGGAAGCTGTCACCAAACAACGAGGACAAAGGCAGAGACGACTCCTTCTGAATCTGCACAAATTGCTCTAGAGTTGCCACAGGCGAGAGTTGGCAAGGGCACTGGCTGTGCACACCAGAGTCTGCTTTAGGCCTGCCACCCACATGGTTGATCTTTTGAACAGTCATTCAAAATCGTCCAGATCCTCTGAGATCAGTAGGGAAAGGGGTCTCTCACAGGTGGATTCGTCGGACCGCATTGCTTGCTTCCAAGAGCAAACAGTCACTTGCATCACGATACCAGAATATGAGAAGCAATTGCCATGCATTCCGGAACCCACCTGCACTGAGCAGCGATTTTGCCCTTCCCCATCTTCAGGTCGTTCCGAACCACCAGCACCTGAGCGACAGCATTAGTGTGATGTCAGCAAGACAATCATTGAGGATGGTTGTCAAGGCATGAATGGGTTAGACCATTGCTTTACGGTATCGGAGCTGAAGGGGGGAATCAAAGGGGCAAACACCGGCAAATTGAAACCTGAGAAGTTGGAGTTGATGAACGTCTAATGTGTGATCAAGCAGTCCAACTGAGGTGGGACCGAGGATTCTACTCAAAGAATCTGCATCGGTCCCGGTGCCTGTTCAGATTGGCCTCTAGTCCTGAGCTCCTGCTGATATGTAACAAACGGATGACCTACTTTCTGAAGAAACCCCCATACATTCCGATGTCAATTCGTCCAGGTAGACCGTCTAACCCACAGAACTCACTTGCAGGACAATCAAACTCTGGAGGTGACCAGAAGGTGGAAGCGCGCCCCACGCAGAAAGCTGACGGTTTCAAGCATTAAGCCTGGTCAAATGAACCTACTAGGACCTCGATGTCGTATGAAAGCACCCTTCAACAACTTGGTAAGCCTTCAAGACAAAGTCGGCTCCTACAATCCCATTTCATCTCTCATAAAGGAAAAAAGTTGAAGACACGGTACGCACCATCTTAAAGTCCTCGTACTTCTTCGCCAGCTCCTCATACTCATCAACGCCAGAGTTCGCAGATGGCATGTCCTCTTCTGCATCGCTCTCATCTTCTTCCTCCTCTCCATCGACTTCCTCTTCCTCCTCTAATTCTGTGCTTTGTGGAAGTTTTGGGTACTGCAGCGTCACCCCCAGGTACCAACCTGCATCAACAATTGAGGCGCAGTTGTTGTGTGAACAATGAGGCCATCAATTTGCAGAGGAAGGTCACAGACCATCACATTCTGATGGTCTACTGTATTGCATTGCTACCTTACACAACATCATTGAAACTGACACAGCCTCAATGAGTGTGTTGCAAGTGCAAATCCAAGCTACGTGTTCTATATGCCTCTCCAAGACATTGTAAGATCAGTTTGGGATTGGATTGGCAGCCCCATCAATCCCCTCGGTGCACTTGCAAGGGCAATCACCACTTATAAGCTGCAACGGTTTAAGGGCCTCCCGCTTTAAGCTGCACAGAGAACATTCTGTTGAGCTCACCAAGGAACAATGCACCAGCAGCGACTCCCAGAAACTGATACAGAGACGCCACTTGCGCTGCCGCCATGGTAGCAGGATGTACCGTAGCGAGAGCTTTCTGAAGAAGCTTTGAGAAGCGCAATGGACCGGCCTGCAATGGAATACTACTTTTAAGTTAAAAGACGAGCGAAGAGGAAGAGGTGGATGGACGCCCATGCACTACAAATAAGATGGAGGCTTTTCATTGGCTTGCCTTTCAAAGGGAACCCGTAGGAATTGATCACGAACGAATGATTGGCGGAACATTCAGACCGCAATCGTAGACTGGCCGTTGGCTTAGCCAGATTTCGATGCGGAAGGTTTGGTGCCGATCGTCCTGGCCGGACTTTGCCAAATGATTATCATGCATGGCGCGACATGCATGACACTATCTTTTAAAATCGAAACGAAGCTCCGCATTATCCGGCATAATAAGGGACCGCCAGACTATATTAACGTGCTTCGTCGGGTTCACCTGCTTCGGCAGCTGGTATCTTTGGGTTACTTATCGGGTTTAGTGTTGATGGCCATCTTTGGTGCTATGCGGGTTAATGTGGGTTAAGTTATCGAGAGAAGGCGCATGGCCAGTATGGTCTGGGCGCTGTGCGCGGCATGGGGCGCCGGCCTCTGCGCGCAACTTTAGACTGTCCGATTACGAGAAGGAAGAGATCGGACGGCTCAAACTCAGCAAGCACACAAAGGCAAGCCACGGTTCCCCGCAGGGGAACCATTCGGGTCACCGCTCGTTCCTCAAAGCACAAAATTCTGGCGAACCCTGGGAAATGCAGGCGATGACCCGCATGACGGTTTTGGTGCCCGGCGTGACGGTGGCGACACCTTGACCCTGAGGGTGACGCGACTTACCGGCAACTCAAGACCGTTGCCGGTGCCGGTCTCAGGAAGACCAAACGGTAATGGTACTCAAACCGTGCACGGTGAAAGCATCTGTGGAGAGCATTGATCAGTTGTCACTATTTCAAAAATGTCGAAAACTTGTAAAACCCTCTGCCTTGGCCATTGGCATGGGTGCTGGGATTTGGGCATCACAAGGGCGGGTTGGAAGGGCCTGCGATTTGCAAGTACCAGTGCTGAGCAGGTTGTCTGTCTAACTAAGGCATCTGGTGAGCGCCAAAGGATTATTGAGGTTGCTGCTGATTGCGCAGCGCATAGTCAGATGATGCGGCGCTTATGGCGACCAGCTTGCTCGCAACCTACGGGCCGCACAGGCTCCTACGAACAGGCGTTTTGAGCAAGCAAGATTCAAGGGGCTCTTTCCGACACACGGCGTCTCAAGGTGTGTCATCTGCACCATAAGCACTGTCTGTGATGCTGGATTCTCTTTTGCATGCAAAGAGGAAGAAATTGTTCTTGTCCCGTCATGATCTTCCTATGTTCCAGCGAGCCACTTCGGCGCTCAACTTGTTGCCCTCTATGCCTCTTTGTAGCAAGGTTGATCTGCAAGGAGGCACCAGATGTGGCCCACTCAAGTATGTCTATGTTTCTCATAGCCCCTATCTTTTTGGCCAGTATCGCGAATTCCTGCGGGAGTCTCTGCCACCACCACTGGAAAGCGCTGTCTCTCGTCTTCAAACTCCTATGAGGATTTTGCGTGCTGCCGCTCGTTAAGAAGCGATTCAATCGTGTCACATCAAAGCTCCACTTCAAGGCCCCAAGGCACACTCCACCGGATTTGAAGTGTGCCGGTGGTAAACTTTTGCCACCACTGCTGAAAAGTCTACATATGTGTCCGTTCGCAGGGAGCTCGTGCACAGCCACCTGTCAAGTAGGACGCCAGGTGACGGACACTTTCTTACAACGGAGAACCATGTTCCATCTTCAGAGAGCAGCAGGTGAGACGCTTCCGCGCAATAGATGACTACTGACCTTGAGCAAGTTCTCAGACCACAGTAACAGAAGCAGCGGTTTACCTTTTGTTTGAAGTTCCCTTGGCGAAAGGTTTGCTCAGCTTGTTAGCTGCCAACTAAAGAACTCTTTAGGCAGTTGACGGTGTTTTGCGCCATCGAAGCGTGAGAAACCTGTAGTTTGTCTGCCGCTTGTTTCAAGTTTCATAGATTTGTACCCCTGTGTCATTCCCTTGTCCTTCTTCATCCACCGCCTCCACCTTAAACCGTTTCGAAGCCTGCACAAGTAACCAGTCAGTCACACCTCTCTCGCGCTCTACAAAGAACCATTCATCCTGAATCGGACTTTATCATCTCCCCTCTTCCAGGTGCCCGCCGCCGTTGCGCCCCCCGCTATCTTTCGACTTTTGCTCGAGCGTTCGCAAGCCCCAATCCGCAAGCCCCCGGCGAGTCTCAAGCTCGGCCTCCGTTCCCACCACTCAGAAGCCGCCACCCTGCGGAAGCGAATTCAACCCCCGATCACTCCCATAATGGCAGTGACGGAAACGGCTTCCGGGGTCCTTTGTCGCTGGAAGATACTAGAAGTGAAGCCCCAGGGGGGGGCGATTTGACACCGGAAAAGAGACCCCCGGTGGCTGCTGTGTTGGCTGAGATGCGCCAGAGGTTGAAGAGAGCCAACGGGAAGCGAGCGGGAACTGCCGGTGCAGCAACGGGGCCTTCAGACGGGCGGGCAGAGTCGTCTAAGAGGCAAGCTGCTATTATGGATGTTACGAGGAATAGAGAGCGGCCTCATCTCCCCGCTTTCAAGCACGCCCCCCCAATCGCGGTGCTATCTGCGCAGGCAGCGCAAAGTGCGGTGGAGCCCATTGCGAATGAACTGCTGACGCTTGAAGCGCCTTCCCTCAACACAGAAGTGTACCAAAGCACTCCTTCAGAAGTAGCGGGCAACGGCCAGTATAAGGCTACAGAACTGCACGACCGGTCTGGGTTTGACGACGAAATTAGCAGTTCCGTCGCCGGAGACTTGCTGTCGTTTCGTCAAAGTCCCCCCCAGAGCCTTCAAACGCAACCTCCCCGGACCCCTCCTTCGGTGATATCTTCCTGGAGTCTTCCCCCGAGTCTTTTCCCTGGTCAAAAACCCTCCAAGAATTCTCCAGTTGAGGTGAGGCCAGAAAATCCCGATGCAGCCAGCAGTAGCGCCCCGCCAGACTCCCCAAACGGCCCAACTTCTCTGCGGAGGTTGCCTCCGATGAAGCTGCGGAGTCGCAGCCTGTTCAGACGGAAAGTGGGACTGGGCGGGGAGCGATCGGAAGACGGAGCCGGTTCGAGTGGTCGTGCGGACGAGGGCAGCCGTACGTTAAGCGACCGAAGCGCTTCGAGTGGGGAAAACGTTTCTAGAACCGCGGAGCCGAGTAGTGGGGAAACGGGAGGAGTTGGATGGAGCGCGACTGAGCGGAACGGAAGTAGTCTTGACGAGTCACAAGCAGCGGGAAGAGAAAGGCCCCTCGAGGGCGCGTTGAAAGGAGAACTTGAGGGGGCCATTCCGCTAACTGAGTGGATGCACGCTGCTAGAGCGTCGGAGCCGCTGCGCACTTCTGCAGATTCTAGGGGGTCACAGCCATTGAGTGTCCTAGAAAACGCGGAAGAGATTAGTTGTATAGAAAGCGCAGACTTGGATGTACAGAGGCTGTCTTTAGATGCAGACGACGATGCGCTCTTGACAGAGTGGTTAGGACCCTCTAACAGGTTTAGCGGAGCTCCGGAGAGCGAAGGGTTAGACCTAGATTCTTCCGGGTCATCAAGCTCTAGTCAGCAAACGGAAATAAGTCAAACGGAAGTCGAGAACGGCAGCCAGACAGCGGCGGGCATTTTAGAAGCGGAGTTAAGGGGCGGAGGGGGGGAAGCGACGCCCCTAACCGAGTGGTTGACACCGTCGGGGGACGATACAGCGGTTCTTAGCCTAGACGAATCCCCTGTGTCATCTTCCCAGGCGCCGCTCACAGAATGGCGGCCAGAAACAGGGCGGGACGGAGTTGGCGGCGCTAGTCGAGCTTCTTCAGAAACGAGATTCCGGCTTCCGATTCCGTTGGTCGAACCAACTTCGAGCGTCCGGACTGGGCAGCGGGCCCAGTTTCGAAAGTTTTTGCCGAAGGTTTCGGACCGGCTCGCGTTTCGAGGTGAACTGCTTCCGAAAATGTCGCCGACCGTCGAGCAGGCCAATCGGACGTCGGATAATGCGAACGGTACAAACGCTTTAGGGCGTTCAGGAGCTTTAGATGATTCAGACAGTTCTGGGCGCTTTTCGGACGGGGCTCAAAGCATCTCAGACGCCTTTCATAGCAAACCCCAGAGCGGACCCCCTAGCCAATCAAATGGCGCCCCCAGGGGTTCGGACAGCGCCTCAAGCGTTTCGGACGGGCCTCAAAGCTTTTCGGACGTTGCTGGTAGCCTTTCGGACGCGTCCCGGAGCCTTTCGGACGGCTCACAAGCAGTATCAGTCGTCTCAAAAAGCCTCTCGGACGCTTTTTCGCTCGCTTCGGACGGTCCCAAGACCGCGCCGGACGGTCCAAAGAGCGCTTCGGACGGTCCGGACGAGCAGCGGACGCCCGAGTGGTACGCGCTGCGGCGGTGGCGGCTGACTGCGAGCGCATTCGCGAGCGCGGTCGGGTTCTTCCCGGAGCAGCGGCTGCGACTGTGGGAGGAGAAACTAGAGCTGCGGGAGCCGTTCCGCGGGAACCAGGCGACCGTTTGGGGCACAAAACAGGTGGGTTACAGCTTGGGTTAAGGGGTAAAGCAGTTTAGATCCTCTGTTTTGAGTCTCTTCTGAGCAAGTAAGTTCAGATTCTTGGGATGAGAAATTGGAGTTACGGGAACCATTCTGGGGGAACCAGGCCAGCATCAAACAGGTGGCTTAAGAAATTGAATTACGGGCGTAAGCAAGTTCTCTGTGCCGAAATTGCTTGTGTAGTTTGAATCGTGGAGCGTTGGCTTTGCGTGTCTCCCTCCAGTAGCCCTGCTATTACCTGGGCAGAATGGCCTCATCATAACTCAGACGCTTCGTAGTCTCTTGTTCTCTTGTCGTCTGGTGTTTCGTTCGTTGGCCTCAGACACCCGGAACTTTGTGAGACCAGATTACTTTGCAGTTCTCAACAGAACAACGAATCACCCAAACTCTGAAACCTCAATGAGCAGACTACTGACGCTGCTTTTTCCACCCTCAGGAAACGCCCGCCCTCGAGCAATACGCCCGCATCACTGGCAACCAAGTCACCCACCAGTCGTTCCAAGTCTATAAGGATCCCGACGACGTATATACGTGGCTGGGCGCCTCCCCCGACGGCCTCATGGCGTATGACTCCGCGGGGCTGGGACAAGGCCCCGGGGTGCTGGAGGTGAAGTGTCCGTTTGGACGGGAGGGGCCGGAGATTGTGCAGCCGTATCCGAGCGTGCCGTTCTACTACATCCCGCAAGTACAAGGTACGCATAGAGAAACAATCCCCTCCATTGTACTGTACTTGGTTCTTTCCACTCTTGTCGCTTGGTTGGAAGTGATGGGCGATGTTGGATGTGAAAATTCAGCTTTGGGTTGCCAGTGGTGTTTAGGGACAGATTCTACGAAGTACAGGATACGGTCGCAGATTGCCTACTCTTAGCGCAATCTTTTACGGACATCCCTTTTACGATGTGATGTAGCGCAGGGCTGCTGGGGATGTCCACCTACTTTCCGTGGTCTCTCAACTCAGTCGTTCCTGGCCTTGAGTCTAGCGTCTGGGCACTTTGCTCAAAGTTTTTATGGTGTAACTTGCGCAGGGTTGCTTGAGATCTTTGACCGGCAGTGGGCCGACTTCTTCGTGTGGACGGTCAACGGCAGCGTCGTGTTCCGCGTGGAGCGAGACCCCGCCTATTGGGCGCTGCTCTTCCCCGTGCTCAGCCATTTCTGGTGGCAGGTGAGCCCTAAAGAAACTGATCCTACACTTAAGTTGTCATGCTTCTTGTGGTTCTCTTGATTTAGAAGTAGAGTCCAGGTTATGTTTCAATTGCAGCACTGTGGTGGGCAGGTGGCCGTGAATTTTGTGTGCTCGGTAAGGGCTTACTGTCATCAAAAGAATCATAATGTTGACGGGGATCGGGACGGGATCCGTGCCCTTTTCGTTGGTTCGTCGTTAACTCCTTCTTCAGTTTTTGAACCGTTGAAATGCCATACGGGATCATTGTGGGGACTTTCCAAGGGACTATTGGATCGGCCTAAAGTTTCCCGACTGTTTTGAGTCAGAGCGGCAAAGCGAACGCTTTTACCGGTGCAAAAGAGCAAATAGGATTGGCTTTCACATCTTGAAGCTTCGCTTGGGGACTCCTTTGTTTGTCGCTGCCACTCCACCCGTTGGTCTGTAGCACGTGGTTCACTGCTAATACTGGAGAATGGTAAACTGCATCACATGCAAGGGCTCATCTCAGAGGGTTCCGCTTTCCGCCGCTGATGTTCCGTCCGTTCGCAGCACGTGGTTCCGGCGAAGCACGAGTTGGTCCACGGGCGGAAGGATCCGGACTACCTCCGGACCAGATTCGAGCCGCAGCCGAAGGACGTCCGCACGGAGCTGATCATTGCGGAGAGCAAGCGGCTGTCCGCAAGGTCACCCGCGATCTGGACGGATTCCGGCCGAGTGCGGAACGGAAACTACGGATGAGCGGAATGTAGAAGCAGGTGTTATTGAATATGCAGGTCATAAGGCGAGTCTGGGGACCAAAGTCGAGCCAGGTGATACGATCGAAAGGGCAGACGACAGCTTTCACATTGAAAAGTTGAAGAGCTGGATTGATAGATATACAGCACGCATGTTCGGCAGATTATGCTCAGCAACAAGATTGGTACTGATTTTCATGACACGTGAGAGACTCAACAAACTAACACAACAACTCATTCGCGTTTTGTTTACGGTCATCGACCCTGGATGACCACTGCACGAAGCGGGCGCATGATTGAACTTGCCATCCTAGCTGGCTGATGGCAAGTCAGCCTGTCGATATGCTTGTTCGGTACTACGTCTTTCAATGACTTAGGTCCTACTGCGTGTCGGCGATTAAAGTAGTTCTGTTGAGACTTTGACAGAAAGCCATGACTTCATACAATGGTGCATTGATCGACGCAGCTGCGAAGCAGTCATGCGCATTTAAGAGTCAATAGACGAAGTTACACGTCCTTCTGGTCTTCTATGCATCTATTTGGGCGCGCATGTGCTCCGATCGTCCGTACCGTCGTGCACGTCACCGTGTCGTGTAACTTGACGTCGTTGTTTGCAGTAATGCGCGCACTCAGTCGCTTGCATGCCACAAACCACGGCTTGCATGAGAAGTCAACCGGAATACTTCCATATGCATATCGCGCACTCAGAGCGAAAGCGGATTACCATGCAAAGTCAGGACGTGAGTCCAATCTTGCTGCGCCGCGCAATTGCTGGAATCATGATCTGATTCACCGTGTCACTAACGGCGGCTGATTGATGCCTATATGATCTAGAAGAAGGATCCATATGCATGGCTGCACTTACATACGAATCGTGTTACTTTACACGTCTACCAAGCTTGGTGGTCAGATCAAATAATCTGTGCACGCAGGCCGCCACAAAAACTGTCTACGCCTCCAATATAGACAGTACGTAAGCCCATGGAATGCTTGTAATATAGCCCCCAAAGCACAGATTGACTCCCACTAGCCGCAAACACATATATATGGAGGTCAAGGTCAGTGATGACCTTAATTATGCAGCTTTTTAGATTGTTACAGATCGTTTTAGGAGTCTTTTCCGTCTTGGAAAAAAGCGCTTCAATGGGATTGTTACATTCTAAAAGCTCAAAACTAAGCTTGCATCGACCTATGACTGATAGTGGCCTAGCCAACTTTCCTACTCGGTTCCCTAGCTCAGCCGCGCCACTCCTTAATCGCCCGACTGAGACTCTCCACCGGCAGGACGTCCTTCTTCTGGAGCTTCTTGCTCCGTTCGATGGGACACGTGTCGTGCGTTGCCAGCCACTCTTCGATGGCCGCTCTCTCGAACGTCTTCCCTGTCTCCACCAGCATGACCGGGTCACTCATGAGCGCCTTGGTTATCGGGCACACAAAAGCGTCCGGGTGGGAGAGCTTATGGCGCTTTGCCGCCCGGTTTTCCAGGTCTGCCGCGCGCTCCTTCAGCTGAACTTCTCTTTCTTTCAACTGCATCTCCCGCTCCTTGAGCTGTAACTCCCTCTCTTTGTACTCCATAAAGTAACTTCCACTCAGCAGATCAGACGGCTTTTCGACCTTGTGCGCAGCCAGGGGGTGGTCGCAAGATGCGCAGATGCTTTGGACCCCCCCACTGCGGGGAGTTCGCATGGGCAGAACTGCCCGAGCATGTCACAGTGCTCCTCAGGGTGAACGTACCCGCCAGAATCGTTGCCACCACTATCCTTCAAGTGCGCCGCGCACATGCAACTGTTTAAGTTCTTTCCAGAGGTGCAGGGACACCTCATCACCTTTTTGCAGACCAGGCCGAATTTCGCGAAACCCGGGTCCATAACCCACAGAGAGTAACCTCTGTCCATTTCTCCGGATGCAGGGTGGAACGTGGAGGATCTGAAAGAAACCTGGTCTGCTGACAAGGATCACGGCTTTGGAACTGCGCGGAAAACGAAGTAGCGAGTCAAGCTGGTTGGGTGATGGAGCAAAAGGCACGCAAGAGGTGACGGATGAGCTGCCAAGGCACACGAGTTGAACAAAGCTTTGCTGCAATTGAACTTTAAACACGTGCAGAAACCTTGGACCAGTGACGTTGTGTCCGACTTCAAAGCTTCCAGGTTATTCTCTTATGGATTCCATCTCGACTGCTTGGAGTGAACATTCAAGATGTCTGCCACTTGAGTTGCTCACACAAACCAATTTACCCTTCCGGGCACATACAGCCTGTTGTTTTGGCCTTAGCAGATCAAGACTTTGAGTAGTACTGAGACTGCAAGTATGCATAAGGACACAGTAAGATGGCGAACGCAAGCGCTAATCGGTCCAACAAAGAGAACAAAATTTCCCCAGAATAGCCTGCTGGTTTCCACCGGGATGTCTCGAACATAAACTTGCTTGGCTGATGTAAAAGAATAAAGTGATCAAAAGTAAGAAGCTGAGGGTCGCGATAGCTTTTGGAGCTTCATCGACAGGGCGCTAACTGTCGGGGCGGGGCCGGGGCGGCCACTGCTGATTGCTTGCCGCCTGCTTGCTTACCTGCAATATGTGGCTCCCGTGAATCTTGCACTTTGAAGGGCCGCCTGTCCACACATATCAGTATGAGGATGACCTTTGACATACGCTTTGCTCATGCGCTTTGACGCTTTTCTGAAACGTCAAAGCGGCGCGCGCGGCCGGTGGCCCGCGGGTGCGTTTGTGGCGGCCGGCCGGAAAACCTCGGAAACAGGGTTTTCGTTCCGTTGACTTTGCTTCCGCCGCGGATCCGTTCGGCGACAGAGATTGTCCTGGCCCCCTGGCCGGCCTGCTCATTTGCAAGCTGCAGCTGATTGCGCAGGGCTTCAGTTGCGCCTAAGCCTGTTAGGGCCAGGGTCCGGGCCAGGCGACAGGAAGGGCCGGGCTTTTCCAGTAAATGATCTAGAGCTGCTTGTGTAGCTGATTGAGCAGGACGTCTTCGGGAGAAGGAGAACTGCACCAAAGATCCTGCGCGCTCCAATCAACCAAAGATGATCGGGCCAGAAGATCAGGTGCCGAAACCTCCTGAGGAACGGCGGGACGGGAGGAAAGCAGATGCATTCAACAATGCTTCTCCAATTTCGGTTGTCTTGGGGTACTGGAAAGGTATGTGGCATGATTGAGAACGTGTTGTCAGGGGTGGCAGAATGTCGCCTGTCGTTTCAAAAGGGTTTCCTAAAATCAGCTCACTGGCAGGCAGCCATGATGAGAAACTGGAAAAGCTTACACAGCGTACACTAATTGGAGTATTTAGGATTGGGCAACAGAAGCCCCACCGTACATGTAGACTCTGCATATCAGCTTTTGGGGGACATTGGTGTTTCTGTAAGTGTCATCTATTTGTGAATTATGCACGGACATCATTGACTATTTTTGAGGGCCTGCCTCCACAAGAAGTGGTGAGCATCACTGGTTTTGCACTTGCTCGCTTGGGCCTTGTTAAACGCCCCAGACGATGGAGGTAATCCCAGGCTTCCCTTGGCTCGAAGATCCGCAATGCAAAGAAGGCAGTCCGAATGAACCAAGAGAATGTCACCACTTCTGATTGCAGAATTTGACCTGGAGAATGCACGGGGCAAACTGGACGAGCAAGGCCTGCGGATTGCAGAGCACCAGGAGCAGAGTATGACAAACAGGAGGAAGTTGGCAGAATCCACAAGGGGTAAGTGCTTTGGAAAACGACCTTTGACAAGGTGGTCAATGCCCCATTCTGTTTACGTTCAACAGAGACAGTGCAGACTACAGTCAACTTCGGCTTGATTGATACATCTTGGGGAAGTGCCAGGGTCCTCGATGCTTCAGGCCTGTTCCTTTTGGCGGTTGACCTGCTTAGCCAGGTCAGAAGAAAATCATGTTTGGGTTTGCTGACCTAGTCTGCTCCAATCAGGTTGCGATACTGCACTACGTCGAGATTTTGAAGCATGTACTCGCTACCTCAGCTTTTGCTTGTCATGTAGGTACGGCCTGATTTGCTGCGATTCATGGGATGTGTTGTCTTTGGCAATTGCAGTTGGCCCCTGTGTCTCATGGCCAGAACCAGGCCTGCTTTTGCTTTTCCTTGCGGCAGGATCCTAGACAACCTGTAATTCCGCGATAATCACATGTATTAGCGATACCCCTTTCCTGCAGATTTCAAGAAGGCCGATACCGAGGAGAAAGTTAAGCTGTTTGGGCCCCTCTTGAAGGCCTATCAGGAGGAGGTGGACAACCTGACGAAGCGGGCCAAGTTTGGAGAGAATGCGTTCCTCAATGTCTACCAGAAGCTGTATGAAGCACCAGACCCTGTTTCGTGCTTGGCATCAGCTTCGGTGAGACTGGTTGTGCTCAGTCTGGATTTCTGTTACTCAGGAGTATCTTTTTGACTGATTAGTAACCTCTTATATTTCTTGAATTTTGTACTATGGGGGCTGCAAGTGAAGGATAATTGATGGACTGGGAAAGTGATCTAACTGGTTCTTCCTTCCATTGTATCAAAGGAGGACACAGGACACCATTGTGACCCATCTCGCTTTGTTGCTATCCAGGTTCAAGGGTTTAGAAACACAAGAAGCAATCGAAGATGAGAAGATCTGATGGGAAGTGTCCAACATTTGAAGCTCACACCTTTACACTGTACAGGAGACCGCGGCGCGCGTCGCAGAACTAGAGGCGGAGAACCGGCGATTCCGTCAGGAGCTGGAGGAGTACCGAGCAGAGGCGTCCAATCTCAAGAACCAGCAGGTACTGCGCGACTTCACGGGCCATGATTGTGGAATAACCTAAAAAGAGGTCGTTGTAGAAGTGGAAAACCATTAGAGTAGCACAAGTGGGATTCGTAAGTGGTCAGGGTTTCTGAAAAAACCGACATAGTGTGCTTCGGCGTTTGTTTGCTCAGGCAGGATACGTGATTGCAAGATTCCGGCTTCGTTGTACTCTCCTCAATTGCAAACATTGGATCCCTTACTGCACAATGGGCTGTTCTCAGGTGCACAGTCTTCAGGGGACACGTCTTCGAATTCTGTTCTCGTGATCGTGTATCCCTGATCCTGTTTCAATCTGCGTTCTCTTCGCGCGCAGGTGACGGTACGGCGGCTGGAGGAGCGCAACCGGCAGCTGGAGCAGCAGATGGAGGAAAAAGTGCGCGAGATTGTTGAGATGAAGCAACGGTCCCTCGCGGAAGAAAATCAGAAGAGCCTCGAGGTCCTCAAGTCCAGGTGCGTATCTATAAAACGTTGTGAAGGGTCTTGCGTTATTTTGTTCCTACTCCCCGGTGAGACAACATCGTGACGATGACGCAGGCCTGTTTACGGACAAGAATCAGAAATAAGAGTTTTGAGGCCCCCAAGTCCACTCGCGTAGATTCTGAATATTGTGAGATTTCTTGTGGTGCTGTGTCGCCGCTTGAGCGGGGAGCAAGCGAAGATGGCTCGAGCAATTGAGTGTCTATGGCGAGGGAGCAAAAGAGCTTGGAGGCGCTCGAGTCTAGACCCAGACAACGAAGATGGTCATTTCATCAAGATGGAACCGTCTTGACAGGACAAGTATGAGAGTGTCCCACTTTGAGTACTGAGGGAAGTAAGCGATGGTCAAAGCCAACTATTTGAGCCGTTACAAGATTCCGTTCCGCCCTGGAATGGGTTCCTGCTCCGCAGGGAAGACCATCTTCGAGAGCAGCTGCAGGCCGCGCACGACCAGCTTTTCAAGATGCAAAAGCTGTACGGTTTCTCGAAAGAAATTGCTTCGTTCCGCCGTGAGATTCATTGTGTTCCTTCCGCCCAGCAAGGGTAGCCGTCACAGAACTCCGTTTCGTCCTAAATCTTGATTCGCATCCGTTTCGCAGGGAAGACCACCTTTAAGAGCAGCTGCGCACTACGCTGAGCGGCATGCAAAAGCTACACGATTACGGGCAGAGCCAGTTCTTCACAATCTTACTTCATTCCCGCAAAAAACTTCTTCTTAGACCATCTCCGAGACCAGCTGCGCACTGTGCGCAATACGATGAGCATTCGAAGCTGCACATATTTGGAAAATTCCTCTACTTGTTTCCGCCACTAAAATTGGCATCCTACTCCGTTTGCAGGGAAGACCATCTGCAAGAGCAGCTGCGCACGGCACGCGACACGTTGAGCAACATGCAGAAGCTGCACGAGTACGGGCAGAGCCAGCTGTTCGAGCTGCGGACGCAGTCGGAGGAGGAGCGCGCCGTGCGCCACTCGGAGCTGACGCTGCTCACGGACGAAGTGGAGCGGGCGCAGGCGCGGCTGATGCAGCTGGAGAAAGAGAAGGTGGGAAGTTTGAAAACTTTATGGCGGCCTTGATCTGCGAGGGCGGGTGTGGAGAATAGCGTACAGAATTTGATCTCAGGTTCCGGATCTCAGGACATTCCGGATCTGAGGAAACGACCGCCGGGGGTTCAGTTCTCTCCTATTCTGCAACCCCTCTTACAATGTCTGCGAATTTCACGCGGCCGCCCGGTGAAAGTGAGGAATACGATCAGCGCCGTTCGATGCAAATTCTTGCAAACCGAAGGGCCTAGATTCTTTGTCCGCGACCGGCGGACTCCGGAGTCGTACGATACATACTACAGGTGTCGCCGGTCCCGAGATCGGGAAAGGACCTGAGGTTAGGAATTTTGTGCGCTATTCTCCACACCCGCCCTCTCTAGAGACTCCGAGGGCCAGTGCGTGAGGCGATGTTCGTATAGCAAGAGAATGGCGGGGCCGTTGAGCAGCGCTTTACTTTCTAGTGATCGACATCTGAAACCGCTACAGAGTGTGAGCTTAGCTCGGTCGATGAAGTGCTTTTGTACGTTCACTTCGAGGATTTGGGGTAAACTTTATTTCTGAGGTTTTTGAAACCTTCACAACTTTGGACGGCGGTCGAAGGGCATCCTGCACATCGAAAGACTGCGAAGTCAGGTGCGAGAGCTGCAACCAAGGTCGAGTGTAGACGTGACCGATGGATGGTATCTCAGCTGTTTGCTCTAGATACCCGCGAAGCTTAAGCCCAAAGAATTTACAGTATTGACGAGTATACAGAAATGGAAAAGGTCACAGGAGACCTATGAGCCAGGTCCAGACGTTTGACTTGGATCAGATTTAATCTCGATTGGTCGTACGCGATCTATTGTTCGAAAGAGATTTTTTTGTGCAGAATTGAGGGCCGAAAATTTGGGACCTTACTTCGTTCTAAATACAGCAAGAGCGTTGCATTTTCTGCGAGCACATGAGCACCTAAATCCTCCTGTGAACCTGCTTCAGCGCTTGTACGTTGGGTTTGCCGCACCTCACAATCCGCGTAAGTATTCTGCAAATTTTGACGTACACACTTCCAGACAACTCAAATACGTCGCCTTCCTGCGGGCACAGGAAGACTTGCGGAGCCAGGTCCAGACATCCAACGAGGGCGGGGGCGTTCGGACGTCCGAGCCGCACCTTATTGAATCACTCTCTTTGCGATGCTGACCAAGAGGTGGAATTTGAGACTCCAGACAGCGCGCGAATGCTGCCTTTTTGCGTGAGCAGGAGGACTTGCGGGGCCAAGTCCAGGCGTCCAACGAGGGCGGGGGCGTGCGGACGTCCGAGCCGCCCTTTCTGATAAAGAACTGCTCTGCGATGCTGACTAAGAGCTGGAGATTGAGACTCCAGACAGCGCGCGAATGCTGCCTTTTTGCGTGAGCAGGAGGACCTGCGGGGCCAGGTTCAAGCGTCCAACGAGGGCGGGGGTGTCCGGACGTCCGACCCGTATGACGACAGCCACCTGGAGGCGGCGCTGCTGGCGAAGGAGAAAGTGATCAGCGAACTGCACGCGGAGCTGCACAAACTAGAGACGGCACTTGCGGGGGAGAAGGAGGAGCGGCTGGCGGAGATTAAGAAGCTGCACGTGGCACTCGACGAGAAGGTGGGGCTCCGGATTTTAGGAAACTACATTGATCAAGGTTTGGAAGACTTCGGTATAAACGAGGAAAGCATGGCAGAACCAGACATGGATTCGTGCTTTCCAAAGTGCTCCAATGCTTCCTGTGCGTGTATCTTTGTTCATGTTGATCCACGAGCGCTGGCTGATTGAGAAGTCATAGGAAGCCGTCGACGATAAGTTGACTTGGAGGGGTTTACCTCTTTCTTTATCTTTGCCTTCAAGGAGTGGTCCTAACCATAAGCACACCGTCATAGTCGCTTCACCATCTTCACAAACCTGTCTGGTAGCCGATGTCAACAGCTCGAAGCGGATTGCTGCAGGGCCGCTGCAAAGCAGGGTCGACGGTCTGTGCAAGCAGCTGACGACCAAAGCTGTGGCGCAAAGATGCAGCGTTGAAAGCGCGCATTCACCCCTCCTGATCTCTTTTTGCAGGTTGCTGAAGTTCAAAACCTTCAAGCCGAGCTCCTTCAGCAGCAAGCCGACGTTGAAACAGGCCAAAATGCTGTGAAAGCAGGTGCAAGAGAAGGATGTCGAGGCGCTTTCAAGCCGCGCTCTTGAAATTGCTTTTCAAGCTCCCGTGTCTTGCTCCACAGGTTTCTGAAGTTGAAAGCCTCAACGCCGAGCTCCTCAGCCGCCGACATCGAAGCACTTGGACGTTTTGCGCAAGCGGGTGAAGACATAGTCAGCCAAAGCAGTCTTTGATATGCTCGCTTCTTGAAGCATTCTAATCTCTGTTCACAGGTTTCTGAAGTTGAGAGCCTCAAAGCCGAGCTTCTCCAGCGGCCGACTTCGAAGCAGGTGGATGATCTGCGCAAGCAGGTGAAGATCCTGCAGGCGGTGGGGTACAACTCGGTGGAGGCGGAGGACTGGGAGATTGCGACACGTGGCGACGACATCGGCAAGCTGGAGACGCTGCTGCTGGACAAGAACCGGCGGCTCGAGCACGAGCTGACGCAAGCAAAGGTGGGCGGGGCTGAAATGGGAGAAGTGCTTGATTAGAGTGGTTGCTAATGGTCCGCAAATGTGATCAAACTGAAGTAGCTTTAGCTATCGAGCACGAGCTGTCGCAAGCAAAGGTGGGCGGGGCAGGAATGGGAGAAGTGCTTAACTAGAGTGGTCGAAAACTTGTCTGCCTATGTGATCAAAACCGAAGTCGCGCTATCTTTCGAGCACGAGCTTTTATCTTTCGAGCACGAGCACGAGCAAGCAAAGGTGGGCGCGCTGAAAACGGTATTGAGGTTCGATATTTCTCGTGATAATTCGGATGAATCAGTTGTATGCGGCTGGTCAAAACAGGCGGCTCGAGCGAAAGCCTCCAGAAATGGAGGTGCGCCGTTGAGCACAGGCCCGTAATCCTGGGGCTTTTGAATATCCAAACCAGATGCTGAATGCCTGGAGCGCTCCTTCATCTCCTTCTCGACTGATTCAGGAAATCGACCACTCTGAAGCAGGTACTACAATCCATCTGTGCCAAGCCTTTCATTGGGAGCTTGCGACGTCGGCGAGCATTTTTTCGGGGCCATCAGCTCCTTCAATGCTCGCTTCAGAGCTGCCTACTGTTTTGAATCCTACATAGAAACAAATGCCGAATTGAGCCACCTCTTCGCAGGTGCAACTGTCAGAGCGGAGTGCGGAGGCTGAGAAAGCCCTCCAAAAAGTAAAGGAGCTATCGGCCAAGATCGAGGAGCAACGGGACCTCATCGTGCGGCTGGAAGAGGACATACAAAAGGTGGGCCGTCGTTGCGGTTTCCCTATACTTGGCAGATTGTGCGTGCTCTGCTGCTTTCTTAGCGCAGCTGACTTTTCGTTCTTAAAGAAAACGGTTGTAGGTTACATGGCTGGGGGTCCGACTTGCTCTGGACTCTTCCCCTGTTTTGAGCATCAGCTTCGCTGCTCGCGGTTGAAACCACCGGAATGCAACACTCCTTTGTGACCCTTCTACAGACCTGGTGTCATAGACTTTCTCTGTCGGTGGCACCTTTGTACGGGTAAAGAGGCAACGAGCCTCTGAGATGCGGCTCTTTTAAGGTGGCAGTGTCTCGCTTGAAGATTGCCCGGTCGATGTAATCCACAGGCCGGAGGCAGCAGTCTTACTCCTGCTTTCCATTCTCGCAGGGCTTCTCAGCGGAGCGGCGGTCGAGCAGGGAGGAGCCGTGGGGAGAGCCGGCGCAGGAGCGAGGCGTGACGGCTCTGCTTCAGGTGCGACCTGCCACGTTTCAAGCACGCACTTGAATCACCCGCCCTTGAGTATATCAGACTTTGACATCGCTTGATCAACTCTCAACTTGTTGTTATCGGTGTGCACGGCCCTGAATGTAACGACGACGCTGGCGGGCCAGCGCGTTCAGTTCAAGCAGCGCATGAGCCAGCTGAACCTTTTCAGCTCAAACTTCCGGAATTACGTCATTCTTTTGCAAGGCTCCAATTCTTCCGCCCACGTCTCGTTCCCCGGGCAGGAAAAATTGAGGGCGAAACGACAGCATGCGGTCATCGGTCATTGAGGGCCCGTGGCACCGGTCTCCGTCCATATTGTGTCCCAATCCTCTCAAAATTCTCATTTACGGGCTCTCATAAGCCCCTCTATCTCTCTAGGCCGGCAAGAGCGAGGGCGAGAATCAGAGCATGCTGGCTGTTATTGCGGGCCAGCGCGAACGGTTCAAGCAGCGCATAATCCGCTGAAGCCTTGAACTCTGAATTATTTGAGAACGTCTTAGCGCTGCACGATCCTGAACGACCCCCCTTCCAATTATGTCGTAACTCTACCCGGGTTGGCGAGCGCCTTTCTTTCCTTTTAAGTCCCAATCTAGTAAGTCCCAATCTAGTATTGTCTGATCTTAGATCCTCACTTGATGCTCGATTGTTCCCCGATTCATTACTCTCTGCTCCCTGACTTCTCAGGCCGGAAAAAGCGAGGGCGAGGATCACAGCATGCTGGCGGTGATTGCTGGGCAGCGTGACCGCTCCAAGCAGCGCATGAACCAGCTGGCACAAATGAGCTGAAAGTTTTAAACCTGCAAATTTCTAGCACTTCACAACTGGCGACTCAGATTCGCTTCTCTCGGCAGGCCGGCAAAAACGAGGGCGAGGATAACAGCATGCTGACTGCAATCGGGGGCTGCGTGACCGCTTCCAGCTGAGTATGAACCAGCCCCAAAATTTCGAGCTCTGAACTCCTAGGACTGCCTCATCTAACTATGATTTTCCTTCTTACCTGTCTCGTTCGTTCTCCCAGGCCGGCAAAAGCGAGGGCGAAGACCACAGCATGCTGGCTGTTATCGCGGGCCAGCGCGACCGGTTCAAGCAGCGCATGAACCAGCTGGACGAGGAGCTGCGGACGGCCAAAGACCGTATCCGGACGCTGACGGTGGACCTGGAGCGGATCAAGGCGGACAACGTGGCGCTGTACGAGAAGATGCGCTTCGTGCAGGACTATCAGAAGGGGGACGTCACCGCACGGGGCAATCGGAAGGTGAGCCGCTGGGAGTCGCTTTGGGGATCGCAGTGGTCGATCGTGGATCTAGATGCTTTTCTTGTACGAGGCTTGCGCTTCAAGCAGGAAAATCAGAAGGTGACGTGCGTAAGGTAAGCCGCTCTGATTTGTTCCAGGAATTGTTTTAGTTGAGGTCTGAGCTGAATGCATGTTTTGTACGAGAAGATGCGCTTCGTGCACCAGTATAGAAGGGGGACGTTACCGCGTGGGGCAATCAAAAGGTGGGCCCTTAGGATAAACGTCATATTGTGTGGGTCGGCCTTGCAATTCTGTTGAAACGGATGCGCTATAGTAGCGGGAGCAACAGAAGGAAGTCGTTTCGCTGGCGAGCAGGATAAGTAGAAATATATCCTTGATTTGGATTTTGGTGGTCATCCGGCCGATCTTGGATGATCTCATTGGACGCATCTTCTGTACAAAGACGATGCCGTCTTGCAGAACTAATGGAAGGGTGATGTCACCACCAAGACCGGGCGGAAAGTGGGCCGCTTGGGTAGTGCTTACACATATTTCGGCTGCACTTGGTTTGCTACGAGGAGAACTTGCTCTGGTCAAGAAAGAAGGGGGGACGTCAAGGCTCAGGACGGGCAAACTGGGGCACGACTGAACATTGGTTTCAGGGACATAACATTGTGGAGACCGGATCGCCCCGACCAAAGTCAGCGTTTAACAGTCTGCTCTTTATGTACCGGACCAGCTTTTAATCTCGTTATTAATCAAATGATTATCTGGGCTGCAAATGGTTTTCTTCGATGACGAAAAGGTCGAAAATTATTTTGGCGCGGTAAAGGCTGATAGTGGTCACTTTTAACGGAACTCTGCTACTTTGACGAATTGTCGGGACCCTCCGCCAAAATGTCTGATGGATTGAAATGAATTATTTGGCACCCGAACCGACGAAATCAAATGCTGGTACGGTCGTAGCCGTTTTAGACAAAGTTTGAGCTCCTTCGGTTTGTTCGTGCAGGGCGCGGTGGACTTGGAAGCCGGTGCTGACGTGGAGGGCCGCTACAAGAAGCTGTACGAGGAGAATATCGACCCCTTCAAGGAGTTCTCTCGAAAGGTGAGAAAGTGTAACGGGGAAAACATCATCACCAAGCTTTGTTGCCGCCTGTCGGGTTTGCCTGTGACGCACAGGCAGAACGGAAGGCCGACGCAGGGACCGAGGGACTATGCTTTTCATACCCCGGATTGGCATTCAAAGCGAATGCGTGACAACCTCTAACACCCATCCGGAAGGTGAGGAAGCGTCAGAAGGAAAACGGTTGTTCCAAACGCGTAATGCCTCCTGAATCTGCTTAGGTTGGTTGATGCCCGGCTTTGTAATCAAATAGGATCGACAGATCTCTGTTGTCAAGTAAGTTGAGCAGGCCCGGACAGCTTTGGGCTTGGGTCGGCCCCCGGTTGCAAAGCTTTCGGTAGAGAGCAGGACTTGCTAACCTGGCAAACTCTCTTAGTCACAAGCGATCTCAGGAGCTTACTGCCATAACTGCAGTCAGAGAATGGAAACGGTGCTGAGAGAGCGCGAACCTTACCTGGCCCATGATTTCGATATCACTCGGGCATCTCAAATCAAAGGGACAGCGATTTGAAGGAAGAGCGGCGATTCGCAGTCTAATACCATCGAAACACTCAGACCCTTTTGCTCGGTTTTTATGCAGGAACGAGATCAGCGCTACAAAGAGCTAGGGCTGCGGGACAAGATTGCGCTCACAAGTGGTCGTTTCCTTATGGCCAACAAGTGAGTCACAAGTGATCAAAGCCATCTTGCGTCCCTTTGCTGTGCGAGGAGTTAAGCTCTGTAAAGGTCCTCTGACCGCCCGCCAGAGTCTGGCGGAAAAAACCTCGTTCCCTCCTTGTATCGCCAACGACCATTTTGTCAACGTGTTTCCCGCAGATGCACCATCAAGTCAAATGTTTCGAAGCTTCAGGTTTTAACAGATTGCTAGAACGTTCACAGATTGATCGAGTGTCAATGAAATGGACGGGTGAACAAGAGCGCTTGATAAGTCACCTGACGTCTTGCTCCAAATTGCCCGGACGTTCGTCTTCTTCTACCGGTTGTAAAGTCGAGGCTACTCTTGAGGTTTGTGAAGCTTTAGGATCTGGTATCAAGAGTTACAGGTATATCAAAGTGGGTGACGTCATCCTACACTTAGCTCCTGACTATAAAGTCGAGGCTAATCTTGAGGTTTGTGAGACCTTAGGATTTCGTATCAAGAGTCACAGGTATTTCAAAGTGGGTGACGTCATCCTGCAGATTTGCCCGGACGTTCGTCTTCTTCTACTCGGTTGCGCTGCACCTGCTGGTCTGGTTCACCATGTACCGGCTCAGTATGCAGAACGTGGAGCACATCAAGGACTGCAACAACGCAGCGCAGGTGAGACGGGCTGGCAGGGCTGGTTCAAGTGTGCAGCGTCCTCTTTTCCGTTTGTTTCCTTCAGATACGGTGGAGTATATTTGTTTCTGATTCATCAACTGGAGACAAAGAGTATCATAAGGTTGTTCCTCAAGCTGCAAAGACGGCAACAATGAGCGCAGGTGAGACGGGCTGGCAAGGCAACCTAGACGCTGTAGCGTCCTCTCTGTTGCCTTTCTCCGGTTTGTAAGGGCCTACCGTCTTGAATATTGGAGACGAGCGACAAACCTCCGTTATGCTTCGCTAGCAAAAAGGGAATTTCTTGTTACCGCACTGGCCCACTTGCTTATGCTTGGAGCTTCCGTTTCAGAATCGCGAGTTACGGTGATGTATTACTCTCCTTTTGATGGGCACGTATGTGTGGCGCAAGTTCTGAAAACTTGGTGATGTCACTTTTCCATTAGTCCTGGTCTTAGAACCTTCAAAGAATGCCCGGTTGAACATATTTTGCTTTCCGTGCAGATTGCGTTTGAGACGCGCGGTCAAGGGACCAACCTTTTGTAAATGTGCATGAAGTCAAGACTGCCATTGAATATGTGTCTGTAAATTGTCGGTCTTTCTGGTTTGCATTGACAAATTGCGGTCATCGTAACGATTATCCACCTGTATCATCCTGCAACCATTGTCGGCTTCATTGATTGCATAAGAGGGTTCCAGCTTGCTTTGCCACTTGTCGGCCTGGTCCTTGTTACACTTGTGCAAGGCCACCTTAGTGAAAGGATGTTCTGATTGCTGTCTAAAGCGCTTTTTCAACAGATTCGTGGGATGAGGCAATAGAAAGTTCGTGGGATAATGCACATGCAATTGCTGCCGCTATCAGTCTTCCTGGGCGAGAAGTAGCACTGTGATAATCGGAAAAACATTTCATTTCTGCACACAATGCAGCATGCGTGGCTGATCGCAATTACTCAACCTCCTATGTCTGCTGCGCACGAGGATCGACAGGGCCGCCACTGAGCGCACATACAGTGTATGAAAAAATGCATGGCCAAAGAGGAGTGTGAGTACGCGCTAATGCATGAGGCTTCGGCACATTTCTTACTCTGGAAAAAGGGGTTCACATGGGCACTGAGGCGCAGGCATGCAAGATGAGGATTATTGTCCGGCTGGTCGCACAAGTCCGTTTGGAGATGCAGCGCTTTGTCAAGCAAGCTGCCCAATGCCAGGATGCTGAGGACCATCGAGCAGATCTTGTGCCAATTCTCTGTAAAATACCTTCACCTTTTTCCAGCCAGAAACTGCTCAAAGTACCCCTTCAAGAAGGGCATGCAAGAAGAGCTTCTGAAGAGCATGTTCCAACGAGTTGTGGCTACATCTATATTTGTATGCTGTTCTGCCCCATCCGATGATGTTCCCTTCCGCTCTTCCGCTTATACCAACTCGATCACCGCCATCGGCGCGTTGTCCCCCCGCCGCGACTGAGTCCTCATGATCCTCGTGAACCCGCACGTCCTCTCCTTATACCTTTCGGGCGCTTCCGCGAATAGCGCAGCGACGACCTGCTTATCGTAAATGAAAGCAAGCGCTTGTCTCCTCTGGTGCAGGCTGTTCCCGCGCGCCAGCGTAATAATCTTATCGACGTACTTAGGGAGAGCGCGGGCGCGGGCCCTCGTGGTCTTGATCTTTCCGTGCCGAAGGAGCTCGGTGGTCAGCCCCCGAAGAAGCGCTTTCCGCTGGTCGGCGGGGCGGCCCAACCGGTGGATCCGCTTTCCGTGCCGCATAGCGAAGACGCGCGCGCCGTTGCTGGGGTTGGTGAGTGTCCACCCGACTTGCCTCTCTGCAAGTTCGCGGTGGTTGCATTAGGAGAGTGTTTACCGGACCTTATCAAGAGCAAGGATGACGCCTTGGTGTAACAAAGTGAGGTCGGGACATGAAGAATTCGCACAGAGCTTGCAATAACTTTGCGTCGAATCTGATGCAAAGATCCAACGAGGGGGAAGAAATCCAAGCATCAGGCTGTCGAATGTAACCCCGAGCTCAATCAAGAAAGCAAGCAAGGCTGGGAAGTCACATCCAAACCCCTCTCCCTCTATGAAAGTGTCTGGTAAGAGAATGGGGACGGGAAAGAGATGCAAGAAACAGGACATCATAGAAGTTAGGTAAACAGTCCACAAGTGACCCCAAGCAGCAAAGGGACTTCAGAACCGCACATAATTGACAGCCCCAACACCTTCCTGAAAAGAGGATTTGCTTGAAGCATAAACAGAATGGACGAGAATTAGCACCAGGATGGTTAAAAAGTCCCCTGCCAAGGTAGTTCTTCACTCTTAGCATCACAAGAATCCAGCTGCAAGATTTGATTTGGACAGCGCGAAAAACATCTGGAGGTCATTCTTTGTTCCGAAAAGGCATTTACTCGCCATATGCGTTTGCCAAAACATTCAGATGGCCACAGGGAGCTCAAACTGCATTAGCAAGCATTCGGCACCGGATACTGTTGGTACGAGTCCACTTCCAGACAGTCGAACTGCTTCTGCACAGCGCCAATGCCGTACATATTGACTTTGTTCACCCGAGGAAATCCTGATCAAAGCCCTCTGCGTCTTCGGTTCAACTCCTGTCAAGTCGGGAGGGTCTCAAAAACCACAATGTATTCTAGCCTGATTCAAAGCTGCAGCTTCGCAATACTGTCCACTCCGACCAGCCAGGATACGAAAGATTGAAAACAGCTGGGGTCAGTCACGACATGGAGCATCACCACCGAAACCCAGATTCAAGGGCGTCAAATCACAGGAGAACACCACCAACAAATTAAAGTATCTTGGTTATCCGAAGGCCCTGCTAAGTACACTTGCACTGCACCGCCGTTGTTATGGGCATGGAAAAAGCTGCGGAGACTTTCCAAGCGGGGCAGGCAGTCAGAATGTCCAGCATCTGTTCTTCACTCCGCCTTTGCCTCAAAAAGCACGACGTGGTGCCACAGAATTGTGTTGCTGCAATCAAAATCTCAAACACCATACAATGAACAGCGTGCCAATAAGGCAAGTGGCCCTAAAAGCTGTGCACCAGGACAAATTGCACGCGCAAGCGAGACCAAAACGCTGGAAGTCACAATGAGAAAATCTGAAGAGAACGCTGCATTGGACAATCTTCTGTCTCCATTGTTGTTCCCACCATAAATAGACCCAAAAAACCATCCTTCAACCATCGAAATTCTTGGAAGACAATGCGCTACTGCGCCACTGACTAAACCATACCACATCAATCACAAGATACCAGGGTTCCTTAGGTAGAACAGAGATACACCATCACAGTTTCCCCTGCCATGGACACTGATGCCACAACGGCACCCGAGTTTCTCAATGACAACGACGGGCAAACACTGATGTGCAGAGGATGTTCACGGAAGGATAAGAAACCGTTACCAGGAGAACGATCGCTTGGGCTGCCATCAACATTGATACGAACTTGCAGAAAAAATCATCCCCAAAGAAGCAGAAACACATTCCGCTAACACATATCGGCTGTGCAACTTACTTTCAAACGGTACAGAAGAACATATGAAGGAACAATACAAAGACGAGAAGCCCGTAACATTGGCCGAACGACAAGACAAGTGAAAAAACCAACCCGCTGGATAGGCCATGAGAGGTGCGATGACAGGAGTAAAATGGCTCTTTTCAATGCACGGACACAGAGCAGAGAAGATGTGTCCCATTTCGGTTTAGGAACTGAAGTCTGACGAAGCATCGACCAAACCGACAAGCAAAGCGCATTACCACAACATTCAGAATGTAGGCACGTACCTGAGCTCAACCCAAGAGCATTCGCCCTCTGCAACCCCGAGAATGCTGGCAGAGCGCACATGCTCCTGCAAGCAACTGGTCTCCTAGGAGTGCACACTCTTTGTGCGGGGCGTAGCCCGATTGAGGGGAGGGCTGCCTGGAGAGACGCCATGCAGAAAGACGAAGCCATGGCTTCCAAACCCTAGAATGAACCTCTCCTGTCGCTCTCTATATGTTACGATGCAAAGTCACCAGTGATCTTTGATGCAGCTCTATCACATTACCTAACCGCAACCCGGAAAATCCACCCGTCAGAGTCGGCCACCAGAATGCCACCAGAAAGGGCAGCCGCAGAGCTTCTTCCCCTGCCTTCACCAACGCTCAAACATAGTGCTTTTCTCTCACGATGTCAACAGCTCGTCGTTGCATTACTCCCTCCTTCCTGCTTTGTGTAACCGCGTGCTAACCTCGTTCTTGGATTGTCCGCGAAAGAAGCTGAAGTGTCAAAGCTCTGGTTTCGAAAACCGAATTCAGACTCCCTTCGACGACGTGTCGTGAGTTTTCGATCTAGAAGGCCCCAGAAGCATTGACACCATTCCGTGGGGTTTCGGACTGTTGACATAACCTTCAGTATAACCCTGGAGTTAGGTACCTAGTAGGTTTTGCTGAGGCACAAGGAAGCTCCCCCTTCCTGAGGCTGCAGATATCAGGGACTGGATTTGAAGAGGAAAAGGGGCCAGGGAGGGCGCCAGCGTCAGCCGTCTGTTCAAACATATAAATCCAGGAGGTTGCTTCTTTCAAGGACAATTTTGAAAGGAGCAAGCGGGGTTGTCTGAAAGTTAGCAGCCATGGCTGAGCATTTGGCTTCCATCTTCGGGACAGAGAAGGATCGCGTCAATTGCCCTTTCTACTTCAAGATCGGGGCGTGCCGGCATGGAGACCGGTGTTCAAGGCTGCATAACAAGCCCACAGCCAGTCAGACACTGCTTCTCTCCAACATGTATCAAAGTCCTGAAGCAGCTTACCAAGCGAACGGAGGAATCGGGCCTGACGGAAGGCCCCTACCACAGCTGGATCCAAGGAGGCTACAGGAGCATTACGAGGTACCTACTGGCTTGTCGCTCAATTTCTGTTGTTCAAGAATGTCTTTGTTGCAGGAAGGCAGTGGTCAAATCCAGCAGTTTTGATTGGGTAAGAATGCCTTTGTTGTAGAAATGCAGTGGGTAAATCGTCTCGATTGCTGTACGAAGCAGCTTGAATCTGCACACTTTGGGTCTGATATATTGCCTGAGTCTTTGCCTGCTTTTGTGCTCAAGTTACGTATGTATCGTACGGAATGAAAAAGATGATAAAGATGCTTTTTGAATCTTGTCGCTGCCTGTGAGTGACTAGCTGGTAATGGTGCTCAGCATGTGCCTATGCTTCAGAGGAAGTACACCTAGTGTATGCTTGTGATGTACCCGCATGAAGATAGTTGTTCTACCTTGATTTTCTTGTGGTATTTGACATGTGCATCTCATGCCTCTGTTGCTGATACTTGCGTGTTTGTATCAGGATTTCTATGAGGACATCTTCTACGAGCTGGGCAAATTTGGGGAGATAGACAATCTGGTTGTCTGTGCAAACATGGCAGATCATATGGTAAGTCTGGTGCGGTCACCCGGTGGCTTCACTGTGTGCAGGATTTCTATGAGGACATCTTCTACGAACTTAGCAAGTATGGAGAGATCGACAACCTCGTGGTGTGCGCTAACATGGCCGACCACATGGTACGTGAGGTAGCACTAAGAAGGATCGGTCACAGAGCAAACTCCATCGCAATTGCTTCGAAGTTGATTTGACAATCTCGTATATTTGAATCGTTTTTCTTGTACCTTAATGCTTTGGCTTGCATTACGCAAATTCAAACTGCTTCGCTGTGGACGAAGTTGCCCGAGTTAATTTCCATAACTTATCGTGCCATCCTAGCAGTTGTCTCTTGCAGCCCTGGATGTTCTTGCTCCCCTGGTCCAGGCTCACTAACAGAGAGGTTTTCGCCAGGTTGGCAACGTGTATGTGAAGTTCAAGGAGGAGGAGCAGGCGGCTGCTGCTTTGGCTGCCCTTTCTGGCCGCTTCTATGGAGGTGAGGATTTAGAGTCCCTGTCATTGCCCCTGTAGTTTATTTTATTCAGTCCGCTGCATCCAAAACTTCGCTACCTCTTCTTATCAGAATCTTCGCTACCTCTTCTTACTCTGCTCTTCGGTATGTCAGCATAGTCAGGCGCGATTCTAGCTTCGTTCACGATCAAGTGTGCCTGGCTGGCTGTGTTGTCTAGCTTTTGATCATCTGAAGCTGCTTATGTCACAGGATTCCTTTAATGGTGAGCTCTTTTACTAATCGGCTCAATGCTGTCCCTTTGCAGGACGCCCTATCCTTGTCGACTTCTCCCCTGTCACAGACTTCCGTGAGGCCACCTGCCGGCAGCACGAGGAGACTGTGTGCAACCGCGGCACCTACTGCAACTTCATGCACGTCAGGAAGATCAGCAGGTCAGTGATTATGCTCTGCGAGAGCCCTTTTCTATTGTGCTTGAATGGTATACTGTTAAGACTTCATTGTGTTGCCACTTTGCTTCAATGCCTTGTGAAGAAGTCTAAGTACACTTGCCTGGGCTTTTTGACTTTTTGCTTTGTTCTTATTGTCTCGTCTGTACGTACTGGGAAGCTGACACTAGAATCTCTCGTGTGTGCAGAGAACTGAGGAAGAAGCTGTTTGGCAGCTATGAGAGGAGGCGCAGTCCAAGCCCTGTTGGACGGTAAGTCTTATTCACATCTGGTATCTGTACTTGTCATTACGATGTTCGTTGTTTAGTGTAGCGGTCTTCGAAACATGCCTGGCTTTCCGTTTATCCCATTTGTTACCTTAGATTAAGATCCTGGAAAAAGAGACTCGAGTAAATCATCTGATTTTCTCGCAAGGTTTTGCGCTTACTCAGTCAGCAAGAATCCATCATCAGCGCTTTCGTTCTGAATGCTCAGGTATATCTCATGCCACTCGATTTGTTTCTTCGCAGAATCTCCTCAAACTGTTGGTCTAGGCCATTGCTACTGTCATCCTCGCCAGTCGTGTTCGTTGCCGCTTACTAATTGTTGATCATTTCTGTATGCAGGCGTGGCGGCTCTGACCGATACGACGATCGCCGAGGCCGCGGCGGGGGCGGCGGCGGCGGGGGCGGGGGTTACGACCGATACGACGATCGTCGAGGATACGGCGGTCGGGGGGGTGGCCGCGGGTATGACGACCGGCGGGGGGGTTACGATGACAGGCGTGGTGGCGGTGGGGGGTATGATCGCAGAGATGACAGGGGCCCCCCGCGAAGAGAGAGGGAGAGGAGCATTAGCCCGGTTCGGCGGAGATCACCCAGCCCTGTGCGTGAAGGAAGCGCGGAGCGTAGGGCCAAGATTGAGCAGTGGAATAGGGAGAGGGAGGAGAGGGATGCAGCGGCGGCGGGGGGTGCTCCGAAGACTGAGGGGGCGCCGGGGACGCAGTAGAGGGGATCCCCTGGTTCGTGGACTGCGGGCCTTTTCTCTGTTCTTTTGCAGATGTCTCGCGGAGCGCTTAAGAGGATGACGAAGGCACATGATTCTGTCAATGAGTCTTGATAGTGGAGAATTGCAGATGACTAGGGCGACATGCACAGGGTCTTGCTTGTTCAGGTTGCAGGGAGTTGCAGTTACTTGCCATGCAGGTCTGCAGGATAAGTGTACGAGAATTCACTATCAGGGCCTTTCCAGCCACCGTCATTGCAGGTCTGCAGCTTAAAGAGATCAAGGAGTTAGCTCTTCCGCCTTCTAATCCAAGTACATAGGTCTGCTCCACTTTCAGAACATGTTGAATTTTTTTTTCAGCTTGCACGGCTTCGACTCTTGTTGCTGTTTCTGCATCGTAGGCTAGGGACAGGTGTTGACCCAACGTTGCTCTGCAGGTGGTCAGTTTGAGCAGGGCGCAGGAGGAGGCGCAGGTGCACAGGTGGACTAGCAAGTGGCTGACGGTTTGGTTAGCGTGCAGGGATTGCACTGCAGGGAAAGTTGGAAGGGTTGCCTTATGCATGCAGGTTGCAGGTAGTAAGGGCACACGTGCAACTGCGAGTCGCTTGTCAGAAGAGTGCAAGGTATCTTGTGGATCTGCGTCTAAGATTGTCCCAGCTTGATTCGTGCATCAGACCAAGAACTCTCAAGCAATGCTAGAGCACTTGGCTTTTCTTGTCCAAAACGTTTGTTGCTGCATTATCCGGGTGTAATGGCTGAGCATAATTAGTGACCAGAGTCTGGCTTCTTCTTTTAATGCTGCAACGGTGTTGCATCGGGTGATGCATCTAGATGGAGTGTGGTGTCTTCAATGCATAAAGGGTTCATTGTTGCAGCTGGATCTAACAGCGGAGTGCAAGAATTTTACAAAAGTATAGTAGGAGTTGCTCTACTTTTGGGGCAACTATTGTATATGTACGATGTACGATCACAGTGCTCCATTGCTCATGAGATGTTGTTCAAGGTCCAATTCATGGTGATATATGGATTGAGATGATTATTTGTGTGAGACACTTTGGACATGCGACGTTTGCATCATGCATGGCAAGTGCTTCAAGTTGGACTTGTGTTTGTGTTGTCTTGGATCCATCAGGCGCGGCCGGTTCTTGGTGAATTCCTCTCTTTTGACAATCCGGGGTGGCTGCCGATAAACTTCAAATGTGCCATCATGGCATGATGTGGATGTGGACAGTTCAGATGTCTTTAGAAGAGATTGATTATCATGGTCGAACTTCCTTGTTCGGGGGCACAAAACCCTGTTGCCCAATGCAAAATTCATGAATCAATTTGAAATCGAGTCATTGAGACATCTTCATTCAATGATACATCAGATATCATATCTCAAGCTTCCCGTTGTCCGTTGAGAATATCGTCTTATGCATGTTTGCAAGGACAAATGGAGCGCCATGCATCCATAGAGCTCTAGTCGGCAGAAATTTGAGCCCCTCTATTCTACATGCCGTGACATGCTCAAAACATGCTTCTCTAGGCGGTTTGGAGCAGCCGCGCGGGCATGCTTTAATTCAAGCACATGACCAATCTGGGACCAAAAGTCTTCGAAAGAGCAAGGGGGAAACTTGATAGCGACCAGTGGAAACCTATTTGGGGGGGATAATGAATGACTAAAAATTTTCATGCATATAACCAAATTCATCATGACATATATAATATTAACGCTTGGCCGATCCACATGTGATCATGTTCACTTAAGCGACGTCAATCGAACGCCGACCTCATATAGCACGAATGGAACATGCATTTCTCAGCAAAGCTTGAGGGAGAAGTTTTCAATGGGCATGCGCCATTACTATTTGACAAAACGGCAAAGAAAAGCATCGAACTCAAGACCTTGAAAGGTTTGCATAATGTACGGATACAACAGGCACGAGCGGCCATAACAAAACAGAGGATCAAAGCAGAGCTGAGAGGACATTGTATCATGCCGCCTCTTGAGTGGGACCACAATGACATTCCTCTTAACAAGTCGGAAATACGTCCAACTCATAGTCTACCCTTCTTAGCTTAGACGTACAACGACATCTGTCCAAAGACCTCTACTTTTGGAATAAGAGTGTATCTCTGTTCTATCTGAAAAGTCCTTTCTTGTAAAAGCGGTATAACCAATGTATAACCAGCCGGCCCAGACAACATGGAAGGGGCCAATTGGCTGGAGCAACTGCCGATTTTTTTGTCGACATTGATTATATACCAGCCGGCCGGTCAGGCCGTCACGTATATAGATCTTCTACCACAGTGGGTGATCCTGCTCTAATTCGAAAATATCGTGCAAGAACGCCTCTGAATACAAACCCGCGCTTGTCATCTGTAAGGGGACATAGTACTGAAAAAACCAACATCAAAACAGTCCACCCTGCCGAGATTTCAGCAAAGAGGGTAAAGTAACTGATTGGCCAGACCTGTACAAGTTTCGTTTCTCCTCGTGGATCTAGCACGATCCGAGCCCGGGGTCGACCGTAAGGCCAACATGGTGGATTGCATTCACCAAAGTTAGGCCAGGAGTCCACCTTTGCAAAAGCTGCGCTTGTTGTCTTGGACCCATTCAAAAATACGCGGGTTGTCATACCAACCTCATATGCCCCATTGCTGTAATCATCGTAGTAACTCAGGTACCCTCTCCCAAGCAAGAGTGTCTCGTTCTCATAACTGGCTTGAATGCTTGCAAAGGAATTTACATTTGGCAGGCCAAATGCAGTCATCTGACACATCAATGTAATTCCATATTGATACTTCTCATCTTTACCAACAACCATTTGCGAGTCCACAAAAACGCAGATGGAAGGATCATCTGTAACCCAGGTGTTATAATCTCCAGCATACTTGAAAAGATAGGCCCTGGAAAACAGATTCGGGGTGTCGACAATCAATGGTATCCTCCGAGATCCTCCATTCAAACCGGTGCTTGCATATACTAGGCCTTGACCAGAACTTACTGCGCCACTCCCCGCGCCAGTAGTCGCAGCTGTCTCCAACACACTGATGGCTCCCAGTGGGTTTGTCAAGGTGCACGTAAGCGAGATATTCACCACTCTGTCAAGATAAGGTGACACTGGATTGGACCCCAGTCTACAGTGGCCGGCGCGCTATTAGTGTTGGTGACCAGACGCTGGCATATAGTAAACCCTGGAAACACGGTTTTGGTTGTCGATATCGACACTGATGTGGGAGGATTTTCACTGCACTGATATGCAATCACAAACGCCATAGTGATAAACGGGACATATCCAAGGAGCAGAAGTCCAAAGATTAACCAAGCACATCTCCGTTGTGACTTTTCCACCGCTTGAGGGACTAGTACAGCCATCGTGATCCAGCTAGCAAGCGCAACCCCTGCCCACACCGCCTATACAGGCAAAGTTGGTGAATCAGCTAGTGGAACACCTCCCTTTTCAGCTGCTTGTGAGTGGTAGCTACTATGTATGGTTAGCTGTAAGGAACCTGAATATGAGTCGTTGATCTGCATAATGTGCACAGTATGATGACATCAATGCAGTCACGGCCAGTGCACAATCGCAATGCCTCACATTGGACTTTCCGGAATAGATTATCCTCCTTCGAAAACACGGAGTTCCTGCAGTGACGGAAGCACACGTCATAGTCCGGAACGCGCTTTGCCAACGGTCAATGTTACGAACCTCAAAAATCTTTCGGCATCGAAGATCGGTCCAAAAGGTCCTCGATAAATCATGTTTTTGAAAGGCGGCGGCGGTCGGCGACCGCCTTTCGAAAACATGTTTTACGATCATGACGTCCGATCCGCGATCGAGCGGCTCAGATTCACCTTCCGCGCGGTTCGGCCGAAAGTTATGACGTCAAAGTGTACCAAGTGTACCAGTTTGTACATCCACGTGGTCTCCGCCGAAACTGGCGATGCATTCGACAGCGGTTTTCCCAATGTGAACCCAGCTTCGGAACTCGTTGGTACAACGTCATCACACGTCATCTGGGTACAACTAAAAACAAAGCGAAAGTTGATCGAAAGCCCAATGTGAACCCTCTCCAGCTTTCTCCCAAATTTTTGCCTCCCTTATTGACATGTCAACATGTTCCAAAAACGGTAAGGCATTTTTATTCGTGATCCTATTGGCCGAAACCCTTACCGGGTTGACCGGGTTGACCGAGATCGAAATTCGAGCGACTAACCCCCTACTAACCCTAACAGATTCCCTGCTTCGAATACAAGAAACCCTTATAAACTCCACACGTAACCCTTCATCGCAAAATTTCTAAGGGGGAGGACATTCTAGTTCTTCCAGGGCGCTGAAATTCAGTGGGGGGCGCAAACTAATAAAGCGGTACAGGGGGGAAGGTTTCTTAGCTCGGACGGGTTACTTGTTAACCCAAGATCTTTGATACGCACGGGCAGACGGCAGGATCTTTTGCCAACGAATGGTGGCGGTCGATATTACCGTAATCGGCGGTCGCATATGATTTGCCGACGAGTGGACTGCGGTCAAAAACTAGGACGACACAATCCGCCTTCGGCGGATTTAGCAGCTCGCCTCTTTATAGAAAGCATTATAAAATAGAAAAGCTTCAATGAGGGTGGGTGGGAGGGCGCCCCGATTCGCTTGCGTGGGGCGGGTGGGAGGGCAAGATTGATTCCCGTGCGGGCCCCGGTACAATATTGAGCATTTTAGGTTGCACTAAAACCAAAGATCTGAAGAGTTTCTAGTCACATCATATGAGACTCTTGCGTTTGGGTGGGTGGGAGGGCGCCCCGGTCTAAAGTATGATAGCAATTTTCATCTCAGAGCTGACCGGAGCAATACCCCACGCAGCAGTTTCCGATGTACTGCTAAAATCAGGCCAAACGCGGCCAAACGGAAATTGTCGTGCGTCCCGGCACCGCCGGGAAAAATGGGTTAAACTGGCGCGTTAGACCTTAACACGATTCAAAGGTGAAAAAAGGAGCTTAAGGAAAAATCTCAAGTTGGTTTGCCCTTTCCCGAAAAAACCGCAAAAACACGGCGTTGGATTATGTCGTATGACGAGGAACGGCCCATTAGATCTTTTGGTTCTCGTTGGTAGGATTTTGCTGTACATTAAGGCCTTACTCACAGTGGATTTCACAGAATCCTAAACTTTTCGAAAATACACAGTATGACGCCACCGGCGAATTTAACCACCTGACACGGTGACGTCGTACAGCGAAATAAAATGCCAGACGGACCCCACATCCGGATGACCGCTACAGCTCGCCCCATATAAGTATGGGCGAGCTAAAAAAAAAAAAAAAGATTTGCCGACGAGAGCCCGGGGCTAGGCCTCGGGGGACGATCTCTCAGTCGAGTCCGAACGGCGATTAAACTCCTGAGGCTGCAGGGTATGTGGCTGCCGTCACGGTTGGGCCGGGGCGCTGTGATTCTGACCGGTAGGATGAATCCCCGAGAGTGATATGGCAAGTCATGGGACCATCGACGAGACAAGCCGCGGTTGTTTCTTTGGCCCTGTTACTGTTTACAGGCGCAGCGCTCTCGCCAGGGTCTCGCCACCGCTATGGCTTATAGTAATATCTCAATACCTATCTCAGTTTCAGTTGTTGCATGTAGGCCCTGCCCCGAAACGTCGCTGTAAGCGCTTGTCCTAGGGCACAAAGGTCAAAAAAGACACCTGTATTCCGTTAGTGCACCAAGTATTGTCCTGTGCACGGAATCCAGGCACGGAATGTCTTGTAATCATGTAAGTTAGATTTTCTAAATTTGCTCTGCATCTACAGACTACATAAATACGAAAGCTTGTAACAACAAGATTTCCACTCGCATACGAGCGATGAGTAACAGTATCTGCATTTCCGACTCACAAATTGGAGCTGATAAGTTCGTGTTTGAAGTGTCGCCGTCATTGCGTTTGACAGGGTGGTAATCAAGAGGGCTGACAAGAGGAGACCCGCATTGCCTTGGCCGAAATTAGACAGCACTCTGCAATCAGTATTGCAGCTACATACAAGTACAGACGTAGTGAGAACCAATCTGCGGCAGCCCCGATTGTGGGTCAAGCCGGTGAGCATTGCATCTGCATGCACGAGGTCGAAGGAGATGGAACGGCTGGGGCTTTAATGATAGCTGGGACTGATGCTTGGTGCAAAATGTGGCCATTAGAGTGCCGGCGTGTTCTGAGAGGTGATCTACCATGAAGATTGAGCTCAGGTTAGAATGCTGGTAAGTTGCTGAGGTAACCAACCTACCCATGCCCTTTCCAGGCTCCTGAGTCTTTCAGGCCGGAAGCGGGTGAGAGAAGTGTGCTCAATTTTCAGCTGACTACAAGAACCTGATTACAGCCCTGAGCCGACCAAAATGGACCAGCTCTGTGTGGCACATGATACCAGGGCCCTTATCAACAGCCCTTGATATGGCATCTTGTGAAAGTTTCTCTATGATCCTACAGAAAACCACCTGAACTACCGCTTCAGAACTATTGCAGCCAGGCGTTGCTCTTTTGTGGTTGCACCAACGGTGAACTTTTGGTCAACATTGCATGTTTCGTTGAGAAACAATTTAGCTGCTAAGATCCAATACCTCAGAAGTGTAGCTCCGAAATCAAAAGTTGCTTGACGCCTAAGAGCTGCGGGACGTGACACTGGACGGGAGCACTAATCTGAGGTGCAGGTAATCACAAGATTTAGTCTCAGGCCGAAATCTTGCTCTGATTCCACCAGGTAGAAAATGTTGATGATTAGCGGACTACCGCAAGCAGGACGAAAGTGACGTTTCTGGATCATCAACCAGGCGCTGGGGACAAGGTAAGATGCAAAAGTGCTGTGCATCAATCCGCTTTCTGTGCCAGAATCTTTTGGAGCATCACAGACAATGGCACTTTCGCTGTCAGTAGTTCTCAATCAAGAATTAAATGTGGGATTGAAGAAGTTAGCTACTTGCCTAACCCCTTCCCTCAAAGACAATGGCATTCAAGACTATGTCTGCATACTCTCACATAACAGTAATACTCGTTCAGAAAGCCCTACGATTGTATGCTTACTGCAACAAAACAAGCACTGTGACAGCAAACAGGAGTACCTGGTCAAGAGCCTGAGACGACAACGAAGCTACGCCAAAGAGAATCCCAGATTCACATCTCAATCCTCAATGTCCCGCCCTCCACTTGTTCAAGCACCCCGTGATTTTGAACCATCTTTCACCTAGTATCATGCTGCATAGTAAATCACAGGATCCCTAACTCACCACTTTCAAATTCTTCAATATCCTCTGACAGAAATAAGGTTCGGACCCCACACTGATTCTCAGAAGTGAAAGTAGGAGCAAAAGATCAATCTTCGAGTTCCTACAGAGTTCACATCACAAGCAAACGCTCTTCAGACCATTCTTATTATCCCCAAGCTCTTTATGCATTCTTTGCCTCGTCCGAATGCTTCAGTTCGTCAAAAGATTGAGACCCGAAAGCTGCCTCACAGTCTTAGTCTGAACAACAGCTCAATTGACGACACTTGGAATCCCTCAACTTTGCAGCATGGAGCATCAGGCCGCCCTCGAATCCCTCCTCGAAGTCTACGAGGCCCTACGCAAGGCCGTTCGTGCGCAACTAGACGGGACCGGCTCTCACGCGGTGCACCGCGGCCGGGCGGATCTCCAGGCCCGTGCCATCCGCGAAGCTCTACAAGTTCTCGCGGCGGAAACGAGCGCTCTCGAGGGGGGGCCGCAGGACGGGGGCAGAACGCCCCCCCCTGGCGAGAAGGAAACGAAACTGTTGCAGGGGCACGTGCAGGTTTTCCAGGCGCTGTGGGAACACATTTCGGGGGAGCTGGTCCTGTGTCTCGGCCAGGCGGATCTGCCGGAAGTCGCGGGGTTGCTGCAGTGCGCGCAGGAGAGCCACTCCGACTTTCTGAAGAGAGTCAGCTGGCCGGCCGCGGTTCCCGCGACCCCGCCCCCCCAGAACGATTTGCGCGAAAGCGCGGGGAAGGAGCAGATACAGGTCCTCGTGTTGGAGAACCAGAGGTTGCAGAGGACGATCCAAGAGCTTGCGGGGTGGGGGAACCCTGGGCCACTGGAAAAGCCCCCTCCGCTAGTTATCCCCCCCACCCCAGCAACTCCGGGGGGCAGCGTTGACCCGGGGTCGTTCTCGCCCTCGCCCCAGAACCCCAACCCCCGGAAAAGCGAAGCGCTCGCCGCGCCGCTGCTTTTGCAGAGGCCCCGCGCGCGCACCGAGGACATGACTCTGCTTCAGGGGGATAGCGGGGTGCCGAAGAGGCCTTCGCCCAAGGCGTTTCTACCCCCCGGGAACGGAGTCGAACGAGCGCCCGCCGATCAAGATAGGGCGGGCGCAAGCGGTAGAGAAGCCTCGGAAGGCCTGCACAGGGCCCGCACGCTCGGCGCTGACGTCAGCGACAAGCACGCCGACGTCAGCAACCGCCTGCAACGGAGCGCGTCCACGCGGGTCACACCCAATGCTGACGTCAGCGGGGCGGGGGGAGGGGGGGAGGCACGTGCCTCCAAGGCCGGGAGGAAATCGGCGACTGCCGCCGCTTTGCGAGCGAGCGCGGAGCAAATGTTGGGATCGTTCCGGAGGATGTTGCACACGTCGGGGGGGGCGGGGGGCGGTTCGGACCTTCCGGGGGGGGAGGTAGTGGAAGCGGCGAAGACAAAAGCGCTGGGTTCGATTATGCGAGGAAACTCGTGGTTCGGCAAGGAGGGCAACGGGCGGCTGAAATCGAGACAAGACGGCGCGATCGGACGGACGAGATCGAACACGGTGGCGGGGTACAAAACGTCGCCCCGAAGGACACCTTCCGGACGGATAACGCCACGGACGACCCCCCCAGAACAAGCACAGCACCCGACGTTTTCTCTGTCAAGGGGGGTTGCGCGGCAGTCAATGTCAAGCCCTGTCCCACCCCCCGAGACAGCGAATCCTGCCGCCAGTCCGCGGTTTGACTTCTCCCCCCCACTCAGTCCGAGCCAAGCAGACATTCCTGACGGCTGGGAACGCTTCGCCGAGGTGTCGATCCCTTCCACCCCACGAGGGGAAGTGGGGATCTGGAGTATCGCGCCAACCCCCACCGCTGCGAGGGCGGCGCTTATCGCCGCAACGGGGGGCTCCGCGGCCCTGCTAGAAAGGGGGGGGGGCGCCAATCTGCCGCTTGGGGAACAGCCCACCAACGTTTCTCCGGGGGGAAAGGTCGCGGTTCTCATTCCGGGCCCTTTTCGGTCGGAAAAGCCGTTGCAAAACTTCCCCTCCGAAAGTGCACGGGAGGACGCTCCGGGGGGAGCCGAGCAGAGCGAGCCACAGCCCGGATTTACCCCCCCTGGACCCGGTTTTTCGTCATCCGGAAACGGCTTCACCCCCCCAGGACAGGGGTCGACGATCGGCATGATCAGCGAACCACCAGTCCAATGGGAAATGCAAGACGCGGCTGAACACGATCTGAGAAACATTCCAGAGACAGAAAATGACGAGGCGGCGAATCTGGGGGAGGGGAGTGCTGAGCCCGCGGCCATCGACAGCGAGTACTTCTCTCATCCCGAAGATGACGTCAGCGCCGCAAACGGAGGCGAGCACGATAATTCAGAGACGGGGGTCTCCCCCTGCTCCGAAAGAATCCTAGCGCTGCGAGACCGGTTGTTAGGCGACCAGGAAAGCCTTCCAAAGCTCAGCCAGTCGCCGCAGAACCGGCTCAGCGGCCGCGGCTCGTCCTCAGAGCGACACGTGTCCTCCGACGAGCGCGAGAACAAGGACCCGTTTGAAGGAAGCAGCCAGCGGATGGCGAAAAATGGGGGGGCGCTGGAGAGGGGAAGAAGTGCCCCCCAGCAAAAGCTGGCTCCAGGGGGCGGGTTCATGAGGCGGATGTCGCTCAAGGAGCTGAAGGTTCTGATCGAAGAAGTGTACGCTTCCAAGGTGGGCTATCCATCTTTGCTGGCTGTCTGAGAGGTAGCGCTTTCTCTTCGTCTCTCGTCTGTTCTCTTTCCTTGTCAAGTCTGCTGTGAGAACGCTGGTCGCACAGTAAGTCTAACCACACTATGTCCAGATGAACATTCGCTTTGTCAGGTGTCATTCGGAACGCGCTATCCGTGGGAACTCGGGAACATTGACTCAAGGTCAACGGCTTCGGAGTACAAAAGCAGCCGACTTCGGAGTAGAAAAGCAGCCGCTAATGAAGTACTGATTGTTGGAGCTAGTCAATTACTGCTAAAAAATTTACTTTGAGTGAATTATTACATTGATGGTCAGAGAAACTCATCAGGAAGTGCCTCCTTGATAGTGAAGCCCGCATCGTGGTCCGTCGCGTGCGGCCTGCCAAAGAAATGGAGTGGGGCCCGGAATGCTCTCAAAAGCTAGAACGTAGGGTTCGCGCGACCTTTCTCGCCTCTTCAAACGCCCGTACAAAAGGTTACAAAGCCTCACTGAAAGGCGTCCCGAGTTGTTACCAGGAGAAACGCGACACGTAGTGCCTCGCTTGCGGTCTGCCCAAACACAGCCCCATCTTAGAACAGCTGAAGGCCCTAAGCAGGTCAACACTCTTGTCACAGATTTCGAAAAGCTCCCGAGAGATTCACCAGATGCAATATGCCGGTCCAGATGAAGCCCGACGCGCGGTGCCTGGTGTGCGAAGACCAAGGAGCCTCCAAAACGAGCATCCGGAAACGGCTCAAGGAAACAGCTGAAACGAGTTCATGTAGTTTAGACCAGAACACATGCAATGACGTGAGATGAAAAACTCTGGAAAAGCTCTTAAAATCAAGATTCGTGCTTCCAGGAGAAGCGCGACGCGCGGTGCATAGCGTGCGGGCTGCCCAAGGGGGTGCTGGAGGCGCATATAGAACCTTCCAAGAAACCGTCCGCCCAAACCATAGCATATCTCGCAACTTTGAGAGTGCTAGAAAAGACGCTGGATCTACCTATCGATATCTAAACGGCAAGGTGACGTTATAGAATAATCATTTATAAATCCTTTTTATAGGAGAAGCGCGACGCGCGGTGCCTGGCGGGCGGGCTGCCCAAGGAGACGCTGGAGCAACAAGTCTGAGGAGAACTCTTAGAACAACTATGAGAGGCGTGTGTACGAAATGTTCTCCCAGGAAAGCAAATTGTGTGAAAAGAAAGCTGTTCCCTTGTTCTCCAGGAGAAGCGCGACGCGCGGTGCCTCGCTTGTGGCCTACCCAAGGAGACGCTGGAGCAGCACCTGCTGAGCTTCCTCACGCAGAAGTTCGGCCTGCGCGCGCTCATCGCGGAGTGGCTCGCGGCCGCACTGACCGCGGTCGCGGCGTTCAGCCCCGCCGACGCGCAGGTGGACGTCTTCGGGAAGATCCTGCTGAACGAGCTGGACGAAGCGGCCAGGTACGTGGATTGTTGCGAAAGGGCCACGTGGAGCGTATTTAGTTCGTTCTTGAACCTGTCTTCCCTAATCTAGTCTCTTACGGTATACATTCTGCTGGACGAGCTGGACGAGGCCGCTAAACACGTGGACGGCCGATGGAAGTGCCACTTGAAGCACAATGGATTCCTTCTTGTACTTTCATTCCTCTAGTGTCGCTTTCGCGAAAATACTGTGAAAGTTCTGGGTGATCCCGCGAGGTTCGAGGGCGTTCAAAATCTGCCAAGTGCAGCAGCTCCTGATCTCGCTTAAGTGACGTGTCCGTGTACTTGGCGGCCTCGTCTAGTTCGTTCACTGCCACTTGGAGCGTTTGGCGTTCTTTCTCAGGTTTTAACTTTTATGTCTAAAATTGTAATTGGTTGGATGAGGCATGCGGACACATGCGGACGTTCGGCAAAAGTGCCACGGGAATGAAAATGAAAATCAGTATCTAAAGCACTGCTTGAGAGGTCTTTTGTCGAACTCTATGATTGGAGCCTTCTGACTCAAATGTTTCTCGAATCCTCGGAACATGATGCAGATTGTTACGTACAATAACAAGTGTTGAAGTTCATCTATTTGAAGCCGTCTTTCCCTGCTTTCCGCTTCGACAGTAGAAGAAGTAGACCGGAATTCAACGTGACATCCACGTTGTTGCAGTCTGTCGTACGAGCACCTGCGCAAAAGCCTGGAGCACGCGGTCGCGGAGCAGATGCGCGCCAAGCATCCGGTGAGCCGCTCCTTGCGCCGGAATGGAACTCGAGCGGAATCCTCATGAGACAGACCCCAGCAATGAGGCGCAGCCCAAATGGGCAATGTGGTTTTGCTCGCGTGCTCGCTGAAACTGCGAAGCAGCGCTTTTGATGTCGCTCCAGCTTTTTCATCAACATTCCGTACCTTCGTCAGCGCGCGCTCTCACGTGGGCCGCATCACCTTGGACACGTGTCAGGTCCTCGTCACCCTGTGCGTAGCCACCTTCAGATCTGATTGGTTGATGACCCCAACACGCGGGAGGATGACAAGCAGCAGAAAGGAAAAAAATCAAGGAATAGAGCAAATCGAAAATTTTAACTGCGCCAAAATCTCGAACTGATTGACTTATTTCTGGTCGTCGTTTCGATGTCTCAGTACGCCCCGGTCGACGACATCGCGGCAATTGTGAACGCGGCGATGCGCGGCGCGGTCGGGATGCAAGACGCGGCCGCGCTCGCGCACGCGCTGTTTGCGTCGCCCGACAGCGACGTTATCATCCGGAAGGTGCGCGGGACAGTGTCCTGAGAATACTAAATGTGGGAATTTCAGCGCCCCGGAATGTGTCGGAAAAATTAGTGCGTCGCGCGGGCCGATACTTGTTAGCTCTATTAAATAGACAACGACTTCCCGAGGTCTCTTGCTGGGTTGTCTGTAAGAGACATGAGATGACGTTTTTATTAATCCTCTGTTGTGTTCATGTTAACAACGTTCCTTTTGCAGGTACTGTCTGAAATTTGATGCCGCCGTCTTTGTTCATGATCAATTGCTGAGTAAACAGTGCCTCAAATCTTCAAAAACTTGCGATCGGCCTTTTCGTACGACACTCTCGTGCAACAGCAATTGAGCTCCATTTTTCTTCCGCAGTCCCAATCAATTCGCTGTGGGTTGCTTCCGACCCTTTTTGCCTGGCTCGTGCTCCAACTCAAAAGGTCATGGCCTTTTTTCTGAACAGATTGAAGAACACTGTCAAGAGACAGCCCGGCGGTTCGCCCCGGTTGCGAAAGGCCCCGCTTCGTCCTCTCGGGTTACGCGGAGGCGGTCGTACGCCCGGATCCGAAGCGCGCCGTCCAAAGTCGCGATAAGTGACCTGCTCCAGGTGAGACGAGCCTTTTAAACGGTTCCTTCGACAGATCTTGCGAGCCGTCAAGCTTTCGTTAGCTCACTCGATGAGAAACGGCCACATACGTGGTCGTCGAACTCAGGCGTACGTTTCTTTGTTACATTGTGGAGTCAGAGCGGGACCCACTTTGTACTCTAGAGGTACGGAAGGGTCCTAAGAACCGGTAGCGATAGAATCAGGGGAGAGCTTAACCGGGCTGATCGTGTTTGTCTCAGATCATAGCCGTTGCGCTGAAAGTTGCTTGAACGGCTCGTTATGTCAAAGTTTTCAAACCAGATTTGTGGTTGTGCGATCAAACCATCTTTAGTAAATACTTAGACGTCGGCAACTTTGACCTTTCTCCCAGATTCTTCTCCGCTACCATTCGGACGTCCGGTGGCTCGCCCTCCGTCCGCTCGTCCGCGCGTTCCCGTCGTACAGCGGCGGCGGCCCCGCCCTATGTTCGGACGCCGATCTTGTCGCCCTTTTTGGTTTGTTTCACCCGGACCTAACGGAAGCGGACGTCCGGAGGCTGCTCCGCTGGGCGCAAGAAGTGTCCGGAGAGGGCCCGGTGACATTCTCGGACACTGTGGTGCTGCTCACGAAAGCGGCTGGGGAGTTTGGGATGGAGCAGAGAGCGAGCAGCTAACTATGGCACAAGAACGGGTGGCGAAACCAGTGAAGTCACGGGAGTGCACTCCTAGCTTCACGAAGTAATGTCAAGTAGATCGAGGTCGAGGTAATTATATTCTTATCAAATGCATGCGCCGAATGTTTCATATTAGCGTCCCTATCTATACTATCACAAACTTTACGATGGTACGCGCGTAGCGCATGGACCCTCCCATCTTGTTGGAGACTGCAAGTACATGACAGTGTGCGCGGCCGGTCAGCTTCGAGTCAGTTGAGTGTCGCCCGCGGCCGCCTACATGCTGCGCTCAGCTCCAGTGGCTAGGAACACATATGCACACACACAAATACTGCATGCAATATTTGTGTGCAACTATATTGAAACCATGTCTTGCAGTATAAGCTAGGAGATGGAGGACGGCTTAGTCCAGCTAGCTTACGCTGATTAGACCATGACATGCTAATGTACGAGCTAGTGACACTCGCACAATTGCTTGCCACCCAGTCTTACAGCCCATGCCGGGTTACTCCTTGACTCACTTAAAACATGAACCTCACCACTGTAAGGCAACCATGGGTATGAGTCTCGTAGTCACAAGGACCTCAATTCGAAAACGGTCAGGGTGAATTGTACGGCGGGCTTTCATTGACCAGCCCTTGCCGCAAAAGTCATGTTGACCGGATGTCCTATGCCAAAATAAGAAAATGTTTCTGACTCATCCGTTGCATGATGCTCTAACGGATCACCTCGGGTTCTTCTACATGTTCCAAATCGGTCTGCCTTAGCCCTTAAGCGCGTTTTACCATTACAAGCGAACGGGCTGTCGCCCAAAGGAAAGTGCTTCCGCCAATCTCGATCTATTTTTCAGACGGAGTGATGTGTTGATCTGTGGGCATTACCCGCTTGGCATCCACTGTTTTGCTTCTCCAGAAAGTCATTTACAAAATTGCATCTTCTTCAGGTATGGCCTTATATACATACATATTGGCAATTGGGTCGGATGGGGGAAACTCTTAATTACTGATCTGTTATATTCTCTTC